ATATGGTTACGTATATATACACACGTACATGTCAATGCAATTTCATTGATCTCGCTCTATATGTAGATGCTAGGGGGTTTAGGATTCAGCGAAGTTGTTGCGTCATGAACCGACCTGACTTCGGAGGTTTACTTGCCCGAGCGCTTCGTCAAAGAATCAGAGGCCTTGGGAAAAGTCATGGCCTAGGCTCTTCTAAAGGGGTGCTCCCTCTTTTGGTATGCGAAGCGACCTGCCAAGGCCGCAGACATGCTCTACTGCATTAAGATGCTGGAAGCCGATGCCTCAGAGAGCACCTTCAGAGCTCCCTGTGCAGTGCTCCCAGCGGCAGTGTGTTGGTCTGATTGGTGATTGGGCCATCACGACCATGAGGCGACAGGCGTCATTGTCGTGCCCGGAAGTGGCTTCGGCCAAAGGCCATTGCTTTTGATCGGACTGCCCCTTCGCACCTCAGATGCAACTGGCCCACAGGAACGGCACCTGGCACTACCGCATCACAATCCTGCCAGAGGAGGGCAAGCTGAGGCGAGTACTCGTGAGCTTCTCGGTATGGGAGGGCCTGAACGCAGGGTGGCATGCCTGCGGCCTTGGGGGCACGTATGGTGCATGATTTGCCACCTCAACGAATCGAGGATCGGATGAAGACTTTCCACACGCAGTTCTTGAAAGAGCACCCTCCTTTCTGCATTCGGCTGTGGCGATGGAAGCAGTCGGGTGCTGGATACACTGTCGAGCCATGTCGATCCCGACGAGGTACTTGGGCCCCGGAGAACGGGCCATCGAGGACAAGACTCCCACCCCTTGCCTGACTCTTGGCAGCTTGCATGAGCAGTGGTTTGGAGTTCGGCCGGATAAGGTCAGGCCAAGTATTCAGACCAGGTCCAGAAAGAGATCATCGAGGCCGTAGCGATTGAGCATGGGCCACGGACCGCGTGGCTGTCGGCTTGGCACGGCAGGAGCATCTGGCAGCTGCGAGTGCGCAGGACGGATGCTTCACTGACCTTCCCCATCCTTCCCCACTAAGCGTTCCTACTTCTAGGGCTGTCAGGCTGAGCCGCACATGCTGCTGATGCTCGGAGGGTCCGGCGCAGGTAAAGGTGGCTTCCTGAAGGCATGCTCAACAAACGAGGGACAATTTGACTGGTGGGAATGTCGGAATCCACACCTCGTGCCAGGCCATGGCGAAGCATGGCATGAACACTGGGGACTTTGTCCTGCACGGTTTGGATGAGTGCGCACCTTGTGCTCTCTGTCCATCTTTGTCTTGGAAGCCACAACATCATCCGCTTGCTTTGAGAGGTATATCGAGTACCTGCCAGAGTTTAAGGCCAGCCCACCAGGTGTCTTCCTCAGCTGTGACTTCCCTTGGCCAAGGCATCCAAGCAGCACGAACTCGTGGTCTTCAAGGACCTTGTCCAAAGTTTTCACCGGCTGTCAGCTCACGGCATGCTTTCAATGCAGGATGCTGCGGATGGTTGCTACTCCGGGGTTATCCCGATTGCCAAAGTATCACGGCAGTAGGGTGGGACGTGGGCTGCCTTTCCGTCCTTCTGCAGCGCTTTGGCTTCTCTAGCCTAGGCAGCGCAGAATGAAATCGTCAAGCGCAAACAGCATCTGATCTATGAGGCCTCTGCAGCCTTCGTAAATGTAAAGGTGCATCACATAAGCAATACTTCCTCGATGCATTGGCTCGGGCGCAGGACACTGGAAAAGATCTGGACCGTATACTGAAGCGCATACTTCCGCTCTTTCAGAAGGCAGGCATGCGCTACTGGTACTTTGCATTGCGAGCTCCGGCCGCTCTGACTCTGTGCTGCGGTGACCAGGCTGGTTACAAGATTGCCGTCGTCCTTGTTGACAACCTCCCTTCAATCGCAAAGGGGAGATCGCATGGCCGGTTCCTGAAAGAAGGTCGATATGCCTCTGACCAATACATCGAGGCAGGGGCTTTGGAAGAGCACAAGACGAAGAGAGCTTGCCGGCTGCCTTGCGCCTTGCGCCTTGCGCCTTGCCAGTCCACGTTTAAGAACGTGCCGGAGAACTACGCGAAGCTGAAGGAGCTCGCAGAGGCATCCAGCGAAAGGTGAAGCGAAGAAGTGGCCTCTGCTTGGCCTGCAGGTGACAGAGGCCTACTACTGCGACAACAGCTGCGCAGAGGGCGTTTGCCCAAAGTGCTGGCTCGACAAGGGCACCAGGCCTCCGGCACATCACGTGACCGCTTTTTACTTTTGTCGCGTCACTTCCATTGTTCTGCAGGAGCTTGCTTCCTCAAGAAGCCTTGCAGCCACCAGACTTGATAAAGTCAACATGCATTGCTGCATCAGGATACTGCGAAAACATACCAACATTCATGCATGCATACGCATACAATCGTACATGCAAACATGCGCATAGGCGTAAACGAAAAAATGCCTACCTACGTCGTACGTGCATGTACACATGCGTACTCGTTGAACTCGGCACGGACGTTCTGACGTACGGTTCGTACGTGCTGAAATCGTGTGTTCCCAGCTCCTGCGCTGTGAGAGGCATGATGCAGGCGTGTATATGAAGTACCCTCTGCACCTTTGGCCCTGAGTTGCACTTTGCGCTTTGAAGGGCTGGGACGGGGTGGGGGCGAGCGGGTGCTCCGTTTGTTTTGGGGTCGCGGCAAAACGCACGCGTGCATTTTGCGTCGCAGCGTTTTGTGTGGCGCGTGCGTTCTCGAGTCGTGGATAAACGCGGGCCTGCAAGAGCAATGCTCGGTAAGTGGATCTCGGGCGCACGTGCGTTTTCGATTCGTGAAAGAACGCTCTGTGTTCGGCAAGCATGTGGATCTTACAGGGCTCACGGGCATTTTCGAGCCGTGGAACTAAGCACGGCGTTAGCCCGGCACGGAGTTACAAATCTAATGGTCGGTGCCAGGATTTCGGGGCGCGGGGGGAGTGACACACACGAGCAAAAAACATACAGAGCAACAGGCACCCCCACCCCAGCATACCCGAGCCCTCCCAGCCCTCGGCAGCCCTCCCAGCCCCCGCACCCCCTTGCGCGGGCTTGGGGCTGCATGGGCGGGCTGAGGCTGGGCCCCCCCGCCCACCCTCCATGTACCTTTGCGTGGGAACCCCCGACAGGCCCGCCACTTGCTTTCACGTCTCATGATCAGAGCAACATGATACGTCCTCAAGCAAGGCGACTAACAACGGAACAGCAAGAACAACCACAGCAAAGCAATGTTACTCTTGAAGATCCCAGTGAAACAAACGAAACGGTACCAGCTTCAGAGAAAAAAAACAGCAGTAAGTGATTTTTGCGATGGCAGAGAGTCGAAGCAGAGACGAAAATGAACGAAAGATAACGATAATGCTGCAGCAGGTGGAATAAACTGAAGAAACTTAGACAAAATTGCAATAAGTGAATCAGTGGAGACGAGATTTGCCCGGGAGAACCAGTGTTTCACGAACATATGTCTGCATGCTTAGTACCTCGATACGCGGCACGTAAAACCTGCGTCCCGAACGCTGCTCGGAACGTGCTCCCCGCGGAACGAGTTGGCAACTAGACTACTACTCAAAGAGGACAGTTCTTCTGTTACTTGACATTTCCTGAGGAATTCGGGCAAGTATGCACATGTACAACGGTCCTTATGGTGGCCTCTTTATCTGAACCCCTGGCTTTCTCCACCGTGCTTCGGACTCTGAGTGACTTGAGTGATAACATGTGGAGCGTGATATGTGCACGTGCATGTATGCATAACACCATGTTTTGTCTTGATTGTCCGTTCGAAGTCTCTGATTACGTGACTTGAAGCCCATGTGGGGTAAAAAGCGCTGACTCCCAGGAAAGGCTCGCCGAAGCGACTTCATCCTGCCGCAAGGTAGGGAAAACCCACATCGCAATCTGGCGGTGAGAAAAAGGGAGCCTGGACACGTCATTCGGACGTCTCTGTAGACGATTCATGCAGCATCCGGTTTGGGCAGCTCCACGTCACGCTCTCCCTGCCCAAAGCAGCTCATGGAGCCTGCAGGACCTGGCTGTCCGTTGATTGATTTTGCGCGGCACACGTGAACACTTGCCTTTGCAGTTAGTTCATTTTCTAGCGCCAGCAGGGACCCGAAGGGTCCAGGAGAGCTTTAGGCAGATGTTGAAAACATTCGCTCCTGCATTCAGCAGGTCTCAAACTTTACTACCCTCGGCTCACCAGCGAAGCATGGGACCCTCATGCATCCCGGCTTTGCAGGCGGATGTGAGGTGCCCTTGTGACAGCGGTGTGGTCTCTGCTTGTTTGGGTGCAGAACTGCACGCCAGAAGCCGACCTTATGTTTCTTGAGGCATTATCTTTCTTGCTGTGCGAAGCAACGGCTGCTCCGAGTGATGCCCTATCCCGCAGTTAAAACGAGTCGTTCCGCAGCCTTCACATCCCGCCACTCACGTCAAAGAATTGGAGCTTTGAATTCCTGAAATCAGCTTCGTGGCACTCACTGCAGATGGTATGCTCGAGCCACACCATTCCTGTGCAGCAAGTCGCAGCAATGGGCAGCAGCTGCTGCTGTGGCCGGGAAAAAATTGATGACAGGTGGGACTTTTGCAAACAACTCTGCGTGGATAGGGGTCGCTGCGGTGCTAGCTGCTAAAGGCTGTAAACAGGCGCACCACAGGAGAGGCGAGGCCAGGATGTCTCTAATGTACAAGCAGTTTGATGCGGCAGGCGCTCAAGAAAGAACATCGCTCACACGATAATGAACAAGGCCTACGAGAAAACATACGGAGATCAGAGAGAACAGACCACGACATCCTGGCACAGCCTACCAGCATTGCCTTGGGAGAAGGATGAAGTCATTGCTTTCAAGCTGATGGTGGCCGTCCCTTTTGAAGACGGACGGGTTCGATGGGTGCCCTTTGACTGAGGGTCGTACTACACTCGCAAGTGGACGCTGTGGCAAGTGGACGAAGATGCAGGGCAACTTCACCGCGTGCTGGGTCTGAAGTCCTTGCTCAGCCCCCTCGACATTTCTGCCATCAAGATGTTGACATCCAACGACATGAGCCCCCGCCAGGTGAAGCAAGCTACTGGGACGAGCATCGTGTGCTCGATGCGGTTTCGGGCAGGAGGCTTGCAGTCACGTGCAGTCGCTGCGGCGCCACGGCTCGGATCCTCTCTGCCCGCAATCCTTGGCAGTGGCCCTGTGCTGTTCCCTCTCCCGGGCGACATCGACCCTTCTGCTCGAAGCTGTGAAACAACGAAGCGCCTGACCACGCCAGCTGCATCAGCAGAGAGTGAGGCAGCCATCCCAGTCCGAGAGGATCTTCAATCCGAACATCGCGGAGTTTGTTTCAGACTGTGACGACGCTGCCTTCAAGACTTTCGAATCTGCGAGAAGGGGGTCCAGGCAGAGTCCCGACAGTGACTACGGCAACGAGCTCACTCCAGTCAGTCGAAAAAGGGAGTGCTGTGCCAGAAGCAATGGAGACCATCATTACCGGTTGAGATACTTGAGATCATGTGCCCTACCGAAAGGTGCAGCGCCTCGTTCCGCAGGTTTTCAGCCAGGACTTTTTTCCTCACACGGGCCCCCCCGCCCTGCAGTCCGTTCGTTGTCGTGGGACTTCGAGGCAGGCAAAGCGCAGCTGTGTTTCCTGACATGCTGCCGCAGGAGGGTTGTCGCTTTGGGGTCTTGCCCAGAGTTCCGTTGTAGCATGTGGAGAGTCAGCCAGGGTGCCTCGCAATTGCCGTCGGCTTTGTGCTCGCTTCTTTGTCGCATGGAAAAGGAGCATACACCCCAATACTCCTGACCGTCGTCGTCCTCCTCTCTGTGTGCAATTTCTCAGCAGTCGTACGGACTCCCACGTCATTTTGTGTCTGTTTTTTTCGTGTCCTGGTGTGTCTTGTCCTCTCTTCGTGTCGTGTTGCGTGCTGTGTGCTTGTTTCACGTTCTCTCACGCAGTGGCAGGCTGTGGCAAGGATGGAGATTCGTGTTGACGCAGCAGAAGGGTGCCATTCCCAGAATAAAAGCGATCTGAAGAGCTTTGCCGGGAAACAAGAACTGCATCTCGGAGGTATGCCGCCCCGAAAGACACCTTCCTTTCGATGCGGATCGGAGAATTCCAAAAGCAATCTCGCAAGCTGCCAAGAGTTGCGAATGAGTGCACACATCCGCACAGGGACTGCAGCAGGGCCTTCCGAAGAAGGGCAGAGTTACTCAGAGATGCTGAGACTGAGGATTTGATACCTCCAAGACGTACAAGTTTCCTAAGCTGGAGGATCCCACTGGTCTCGCACGTATCGAGGCGGGGCAGCGATGCAGAAAGAACCACATCCAAAAGGATCAGCCTAAGGAATGGTAATATTCGTACTGCGATGACGACAGGGTAGTTTTGGCAGCGATGTATGGATTGCGCGACTACCGCTGTGTGAGACCCCTCTTCGCTCGTCTTCTTATGCCCTGATGCCTTGCAAGCCCTAATGCCTTGCAACTTTTAAAGCCTCACAGACAATCCCCAGACCCGCAAAAATGCTAAAACCTAAATCCCAAAACCAACCCTAAATCCCGAGCTGTAGGTGTTTCAGCGTGTTGGACACCTGACCGTCAGCTTGGGAAAGCTGCAGCAAGGCGAGCAGAGCGTGGAGGCACCCTTCTTTATCTCATATGTGTATGATTGTGTATGTGCACCTGTGTATGCATATATATACATACATATACGTATACATATACATATACATATACATATACATATATATATATATATATATATATTGCACAGACATATTTGCTGGAGGAACAGTGTAAGTGGAATATGATCTCGCATATGATAGACAACATAGATGCCTAAAGCTTTGTTGCAGCGCCACACTCAGTTGCTTACCGAACCGCTGCGACCTGCAGAGGTTCCGGTCAACATGCCAGGGATGCCCAATCTGCCCATGAGGCGCATAGTTGCTTATATCAGAGATTGTCAAGCATCTGAGTCTTACAGTTCGTGCATGGGGCTGCTTGCTGTCAGGATAGGGCTTCACGGCGGTGCAGCTGCGGCCTGAGATCTTTCTGGAATTTGTCGTGACTTCTCGAATCAGTAGTTGCCATCATTGGTTTCTGACTGGCAGGAGGTGGATATGGAGCCCAAGCTCAAGAGCACCAAGGTGAAGACCAAGCTCGATGCAGCACAGAAGTGAGCCCTGGTGGATCTTTCACGCAAGCTAAGCTCCCTTAGATGACACTGGTGTTTTGATGCCCTGCTCGTTTGGGGTCCTCTGCATCTTTGTTATTTCTATGCAGAGCATGAGTCTGCACATGAACGCCGAAGCGACAACAACGGCCGGAATAGTTACGAGCGAACATATGTATGTATGTGCAGAAAGATGAGGAAGCCGAGCACGAGCTCTGTTGGGCGAAGGGTGCCAGTTTTCTTTTTGATAGCGAGGCTTTGTCAGCTCCAGAACGTGTGCAGAGTGACGCCTCTTCCCGCGTGTTGGCAGATACACGTAATATATATATATATATATATATAATATGTAATATACTATAATATACTATAATATACCAAAATATACTATATAATATAAAATACAATGCAGCAAGAAGAGCGGCGATTTCACACTCGCGATGGAATCTTGCGGTGCCTTCTTTAACCACTGGTTCACGCACGTGCTCTTTATCTGTTCAGCCGTTGAATTAATACTAGAGCACATACAGATCCTGACCGTCACCCCAAGCCTAAAACCCGAGAGGAACGTCGTCTTCTCTGAATCACTCTCGCGATTCGCGGCAAACGACCGGCCACGTGTCTATGAGCGATTGTCATTGTCATTTTGTGCACACAGCTGCACGTGCCCTTTCAAAAAAGTGGAAGCACGCGAAGCAAAGTGAACAGGGAGGCAACCATCTCATGGAATCGAACTGAGCCACGATCGCACTCAAAATGGTGCAGGTACTTGGCGGAGCATCAGCTGGAGGAAGTCATCACTGATGTGGTGCGCGAGGTCGCGCCCTCGACCCTCGATCAGCGCAGTCCGGAGTTTTGGAGTGTCGGGTGATGCCATTTCCAGGTCATCCATGAGAAGCCCGCCGAGCCACTGCTGTTCCTATCCTCCCAGATCCTGAAGCATGTCGTGGGCTCAGATTGGAGTTAGGAGGGTGCCAGTCGGGTGCTTCCCATGCCTGCTGTGAGAGGCGGCGACCCGGAAGCCTGCGCTCCCTCCTGAGCTTTCTAGTCCTTGCGACGCCCTGAAAAGACGCCCAAGCGAGGGCGTCTAGCTTTCATCTCAACAGGCTTCCATGTTATGTCTTTGTCCCTCAAAGGCAGACTGCAGGTTGAAGGGATCTGGCGGGGGGACATTCCGCCAGCTCTCTCCATCAGGCCGATCGAAGCACAGAGGGAGCTGCCGCCCCTCCCACTTACCGAGAAGCTGCAGCGCACGGGTGGGCCGCCAAGATTTGCTGCTTTTGTTTTTTTTGCAGTTTCCTGGTCTCTACGGCTGGGCAGGTGGAGCTGGAACAGCCCGTCTCCAAGACTGGTGGTTCAATGCGTAGCAGCTGCGGATAAGCTCACTTGGCCTTGTTCGCTACATCCCGGCTTGTGTTCATTGGTGCATTCGTCTATATTCCATCCATCTATTCACTCAAATTCCCGCATCGTTCCTTCGTTTATTCATCTGGTTCACAGGTACCTGTGTGTATAAAAATACATAGATACATATACATATGTATATATATATATAGTTTGAGCCGACACTGTTGCATTCAATTGTAAGCGCTTCGCGCCGTCGGCCTCGGCCCGGGCGTAGTTCGCGGGGGAGGGAGCGGAAGCGGATAATTCTGAAGAGGAGGGCGGACCTGAAGCATGCAGACCGGTGCTTATTCTAGTAGTTATTGCCATTAAAAAAAGAACCATCCAGCATCAAGAGCAGTGGCACCCCAAGCTGCACCTGTGCAAGCATAGTGTGACCCAACTCTGTCTGAGCTGAGGCTTCTCCTGAACCACTCAAAGGCCCTGCTCCTCAAACTGCTGGACCTGCACCAATTTCCTTGACACCCTTCAGGCCTTTGGGGTTTGAGGGCTTAGGATCAAAGGTGGGATAAGGGAGCCTTGACCTTGTCGCCTTGCGGTTCAAGACGCCGTATTTCCAGCGACAGGCCCTACTACGCTGAACATCTGCGGACCATCGATCCAGCTTCCATGCAGGCTGGGTGTTGGCCGTCTAGGCTGAGAGTGTTACATGTTTCTTGTGTGATCCACCTCGGCAGAAGCTGTACGCCAAGTTCCCGACCGCGCCAAAGCCAAAAGCGCCAGAGGCTGGTGCTAAGCCGACGGAGACAGCAGAAGTTATGAAGGCTGCCCCAGCCAGAGCCTCAGCGACGACGTCCATAGAAACGCCCATTGTTAAAATGCAGGAGCAAGCGAAGGACAGCAGGACACACGTACACATGAATGCATGTCTGTTTGCTCAAACATGGCTGTCCAGCTGAATCCGGCTAGTTTGGCTGCTAGCCTCGACTGACCACTCAGACTGCGGCTGCGCCTGCTGCACCTGTTCCAGTAACGAAGTTGGAAGCCTGGGGCAGATGCTGAATGTGCAGCTATGCACGTCGTGCACTCCGGCCGTGAGCACGCTAGAAGGGAGCGGAGCCACTTGTGAATCTACCCAGGTTTGCAAAGTTGCCCTCTGTGGGAACTTGGCTGGCACCCAACCCGCGCAAGTTGTCTCAGAAGGCTCACTACAGTCGCTTTTCTAGCCGCTAGTGCTAGCCTATCTTTGGTCTCCTTTATGGTTTCTGCACACTCTGAGTATCTCTGAATGCTTCACTTACCCCGCAGACGGCAGCAGCGACAGCAGCACCTGCACCCCCGGCTTTGGCCTAAGACTGGGTCACGTAGCTTCTGCCAGCTGTGCGTCGGGTGGTCAAGGTCTGTTGACTGAGGCGCCGCCTGCTCCCCCTGCGACTACCGAATCTGACTTCCAGCCCTCCACTTAGTGACTCTGTCCTGTGCTGTGCAGCTACGACAGCAACAGTTGCGCTTCCGTGCCGCTCACGTTTACAGAATTGCAGCGACAGGTCTTACTATGCGGAGCATGTGAAGACGATCGATGCAGGTTCGGACGCCATGAAGGCTGGGGTTGGGGTGTCTCCTTTGAAAATGTTCTTCCTGGTCCACTGCGGCAGAATCTGTACTCCAACTTCCCGGTCGCGCCAAAGCCCGTGCCGGCGCCAAAAGCGCCAGAGGCTGGTGCTAAGCCGACGGAGACAGCAGAAGTTATGAAGGCTGCCCCAGCCAGAGCCTCAGCGACGACGTCCATAGAAACGCCCATTGTTAAAATGCAGGAGCAAGCGAAGGACAGCAGGACACACGTACACATGAATGCATGTCTGTTTGCTCAAACATGGCTGTCTAGCTGAATCCGGCTAGTTTGGCTGCTAGCCTCGACTGACCACTCAGGCTGCGGCTGCGCCTGCTGCACCTGTTCCAGTAACGAAGTTGGAAGCCTGGGGCAGATGCTGAATGTGCAGCTATGCACGTCGTGCACTCCGGCCGTGAGCACGCTAGAAGGGAGCGGAGCCACTTGTGAATCTACCCAGGTTTGCAAAGTTGCCCTCTGTGGGAACTTGGCTGGCACCCAACCCGCGCAAGTTGTCTCAGAAGGCTCACTACAGTCGCTTTTCTAGCCGCTAGTGCTAGCCTATCTTTGGTCTCCTTTATGGTTTCTGCACACTCTGAGTATCTCTGAATGCTTCACTTACCCCGCAGACGGCAGCAGCGACAGCAGCACCTGCACCCCCGGCTTTGGCCTAAGACTGGGTCACGTAGCTTCAGCCAGCTGTGCGTCGGGTGGTCAAGGTCTGTTGACTGAGGCGCCGCCTGCTCCCCCTGCGACTACCAAATCTGACTTCCAGCCCTCCACTTAGTGACTCTGTCCTGTGCTGTGCAGCTACGACAGCAACAGTAGCGCTTCCGTGCCGCTCACGTTTACAGAATTGCAGCGACAGGTCTTACTATGCGGAGCATGTGAAGACGATCGATGCAGGTTCGGACGCCATGAAGGCTGGGGTAGGGGTGTCTCCTTTGAAATGTTCTTCCTGGTCCACTGCGGCAGAATCTGTACTCCAACTTCCCGGTCGCGCCAAAGCCCGCTGGTGCTAAGCCGACAGAGACAGCAGAAGTTATGAAGGCTGCCCCAGCCGGAGCCTCAGTGTCGATGGCCATGATACATGCGAAAAATCGCCCAATGTACGATGTGTTGTTTTGTTTTGTTGCTGTTTGTGCATGAAACCGGCCTCCCACACCGCATGATACGGCAATGCGGCAATGCTCTCCATCTCGGACTCCCGTTGTGGCTCGGCACACTGAACAATACACCAGCAGTGAGGGCGGACGGCTATAGATTGTCACGTGACCCTTCTGGCAATCTGGTTAGTCTCTAGCTTCGGCAGACGGCTGACATGCATGTGCCACGGACGCAAGTTGGCAGTGCTTAGTGGCTTGAATTTGGGATGCAAGCCGCCATCAGTCAGATCAAGAAACGGTCAGTTTTGATCTTCAGTTGGGCTCCACTTCTTCCACGAAATCACAGAATGCCGAGCACGGCCTGTCCCGAAGAATAGTCCATGCATTTTCGCAACATCGGGCATAAAGAAAGTCCTCCCATCACCTTGGTCGTCGGACCCGGTACCAGTTTGAAGGGGCCCCTCACTCTCAAGCAGCTTGTGGTTCGCGCAGCAGGCAGCTACCAAACTCACCCGAGCTCCTCCACGACTTGCGTTTACGAGAAGATGGGCGTAGTAGTAGTAGTAGTAGTAGTAGTAGTAGTAGTAGTAGTAGTAGTAGTAGTAGTAGTAGGAGTAGGAGTAGGAGTAGGAGTAGGAGTAGGAGTAGGAGTAGGAGTAGGAGTAGTAGTAGTAGTAGCAGCAGCAGTAGTAGTAGCAGTAGCAGTAGCAGTAGCAGCAGCAGCAGCAGCAGCAGCAGCAGCAGCAGGAGTAGGAGTAGGAGTAGGAGTAGGAGTAGGAGTAGGAGTAGGAGTAGGAGTGGGAGTGGGAGTAGGAGTAGGAGTAGGAGTAGGAGTAGTAGTAGTGGTAGTAGTAGTAGTAGTAGTAGTAGTAGTAATAGTAGTAGTAGTACTAGTAGTAGTACTAGTAGTAGTACTAGTAGAATCCATTTTTGAGCTGTCTCTTCCAAGGAGGGGGGTACCCTCCAACATCAACAGCAGTTGCAGCCCACGATGTTCACGTGTAGGCGTCATGTGAAACCTTATTCTGTCGAAGCAGAGGCTGCACCTGCGGCACCCGCTGCTTCTGCTGCGAAAGCAGCATCCTTGACACCGTTCAGGCAAGGTGGGATAGCTTTCCGGTCTCGCTTGGACCAACACAAGACAAAAGGCGAGTAGCCTGGTTGTCCATTTTCCAGAAGTCCAGCTGAAGGTCTTACTATCTGGAACACATGCGGACCATCGATCCGGACTCAATGCAGGCCGCGGATGAGCCAAGTCTTCCATCACAGTGTGGATCCTGATTCACTGCCCAGAAGCTCTACTCCAAGTTCCCGGTTGCGCCGAAGCCCGAGCCGGCGCCAAAAGCGCCAGAGAAGCCGGAGGCTAGTGCGAAGCCGACCGAGAGTGCGGAAGCGACCCCCTTCAGGCAAGGTGGGATGGCTCTCTTCTCATCACACAAGAAAAAAGCATTCAGCCGTTTTGCAGAAGTCCACTGGGAGGTCTTATTATGCGGAGCATATGAAGACCATCGATCCGGACTCAATGCAGGCTGCGCATGAACCAAGCCTGCCCTCACAGTGTAAATCCTGGTTCACTGCGCAGACGCTCTACTCCCAGTTCCCGGTTGCGAAGAAGCAACCGACGGAGAGTGCGCAAGCGATGAAGAGTGTGCCAGCCGCAGCCTTAGCTTCGAGGACATTCACGGCATACCTGTAGTTCCCCGTCGCAGAATGCCAGAGCAAGAACGACTGCCAGCAAGACAGCTAGATAAACTGTTAGATAGATAAGTGGATGGATGGATAAATGAATGGAAGAAGCATGCAACTGGATGATCACGTAGATGGTCAACTACACAGGCAACCGAATATAAGCCAATAGACAACACGCAAGCAACTAGGTACACAACACGAACAATGAAAGTTATATAATGATCTGAGCTACATGTATACGTGTATATAAACCTATATGTATACACAGACAGTGTACGTATGTATGTATGTATGTATGTATGCACGTATGTATGTATGTATGTATGTATGTGGGTACCTTCGTATGTACCTCTGTACTTGTGTGCTTATGTACGCTTGTCTGTCTGTCTGTCTGTCTGTCTGTCTGTCTGTCTGTCTGTATGTAGGTGTGTAGGCATGTATGTATGTAATTGTATATAGGTATGTAGGTGTGGGCCCCCAATGTGCATGCATGCATAAATACATGCTCGTGCACGCACGCACGCACACACACACACACACACACATGTCTGTGTAACTATACGCGGCTGTCTATTTGCCTGTCACGCTTGACGAGACATTCAGGTCGTGGCTGAACCAGCTGCACCCGTCGCAGAGTTGGAAGCTCGGCGGGTGGCTGCATGTAGCGAGGTCCTGTCTTTGAACAAAGAGGACAGGAAGCACAACTCCAGCAAAATGCAGGTAAAACAGATGATGAGAAGCAACCACCTGTCATGGTCTGGTCAGGTTTAACAAGCGGCCGTCCGTCGGAACCTGGCTCGCGCCCAACCCCAACCAGCTGTCTCAGGTCGTTCCCTTTCATTGCATGTCTTTGCCCATGGTCATGCCTGCTGGAAAATGCTGCATGCTTCGTCTTCAGATGGCTGCCGCAGCAGCAACCCCTGCGACACCATCTGCCCCGGCCTGAGAGTAGGTTCATGTAACTTCCGACGTGTGGACTCATGGGCATGAAAGGACTATGCCACTTTGCATGCTGCAATCGCATCGGAAGAGGCTCCGAAGCAGTCTGCCAATGCAGAGAAGTTGGAGGCTCCCGTGGCGGCCAGCACAGCTCCGGAGCCCCGGCTAAGGGATCTGCCGAACTTGGAGCCATTCCTACGCTGTGCGGCTTCTTTACCATATGGGATCTCAGGCAAACCAGGTGCCCTTCAAGCTGCTCCCATCAGTGACTTCCTCGGCTCTGCCAAGCTCTGCCATTGCTCGTCTCATTTCTCTTGCTATTCTGGTTGTTATCAATTTTTATTACAGTAGCATTAGTATTGCTGTTCTCGTTGTTCCTATCCGAAGCCACTTTGCTCCTGGCTCAGGTCGGCACCTGGCTGAGTTTCAAGCCATTCGCTGAGCCAGCGAAGCCAAGCATCCTGGTGGCGTCCCTAGTTTGCTTCTGCTCTTCATGCCAGGCCTGGCAGTAGTGTCACTCATAGTAGTCATTGCCTGCTTACAAATGCTTGTAGCTGTTTATGCTGGTATTTACTTTGGTTGTGGTGGTCTGGGCAAGTGGTGGTGGTAGTGGTGGTGGTGGTGGTGGCGGTATACGCGGTGGTGGTGGTAGTGATTGTCGTCATGGTGCTCATGGTGGTTGCGGTGGTTGTGGTGGTTGTTGATGTTGGCGGTGGTGGGGTGGTGGTGGTGATGGAGGTCGGGGTGGGGGTAGCGATGGTGGCGGCGGTGGTAGTGGTTGTTGTGGTGGTAGCAGTGGCAGTGGCGGTGATGGTGATTTTGGTGGTAGTGGTGGCGGTAGTGGTGGTAGTGATTGTAATTGTGTTTGTGGTCGCGGTGGTTGTTTTGGTGATCGTGGCGGCGGTGGTGCTGGTGGAGCTGGTGGAGCTGGTGGAGCTGGTGGAGCTGGTGGTGGTGCTGGTGGTGGTGCTGGTGGTGGTGCTGGTGGTGGTGCTGGTGGTAGGGTCGGGTGGCGGTGCTGTCTCTATTGCAGTTTCTGTTGATTGCTGTTGCTGTTTTTGCTGTTGCTGCTGCTGCTGTTGCCGTTGCCGCTGATGCTGCTGCTGTTGCTGCTAGTTGTTAATGCTGTTGTTGCTGTGGTTGCAGAACGGCGTTCTGCCTGCAGGAGAGAAGCCACAGCAAACTCTTGGTCATGAACCACGAGGACAGGCCTTTGCAGCATCATTTCCGGTTGAGGGGATCCGCATGCTTTAGCCCCCCCCCCGTTACAGGAGCTGATCACTGGCTATGAGTGCGAGATCCGGAAGCGGGACGAGGTCAGGGAAGGAGTAGCGACCAGACGCGACACGCGATCAGCTTTGCCGGCATTGCCAGGAGATTGCCAAGTTGAAAATGTCCTTGAAGGCGTAAGGACTGCAGTGCAGCAGTGAAGGTTTGACTCGAAGACTGAGATTTTGGCATGTGTACTAGCCTCGAGCAGTGCATAGGGCATGCAGGACCTGGCTGATCGTTGATCTACTGCGCGCGGCACATATGAACGCTTGCCTTTGCAGTTGGTTCATTTTCTAGCGCCATCAGCTGGAACCCGAAGGGTCCGGGCAGATGTTAAAAACATTCGCTCCTGTGTCAAGCAGGTCTCACACGTTTCCCTTGGCTCGTCAGCGAAGCATAGGACCCACACCTACGTTTCGAGTTTGCAATCGGATATGAGTTTCCTTTGCGAATGCGGCGTAGCCTCCTCTTCTTCTTCGGGTGCAGAATTGCACACCAGAAATCATTATGTTTCTTGGAGCATCATGTTCTTTGCTACGCGAAGGAACGGCTGCTCCGACCCCTGCCCCGCAGTTCAAAAGTGTTGGGCGGCACCTTGCCTTCATCTCCCCAAGCCTGTTGGTCTTGGTCAATCCATATGGGATGTGAAGTGTTCGAGTATTTCGCTCTTTTGATTGCCAGTGCCGTCATGGCAAAAGTGTAGGGGGGCTATATGGATTGTATCCATAGCTTTGCAGATCTTCCATTTATCGCCTTGACAGAGATCTTGGGCTAACCGCAAGATCCATCTTGTGAGCCTGACCGTGACCGTAGTTACGGTTCGACTGGATTGACTAGATACCGTAAAATCATAAGACTTAATGTAGGTCATCCCCGATTTGAGCCTGCACGGGATGAGCTGAGCCCAACGCTTAGACGATTTCGGGCACATCCGGCCGAGATCTCAGAGCAGAGCTCAGCGCTGGGCTCAGGTGGAGCGTTGCGACATGCACCGAACTCGATGAGTGTGGCCCCCAGAAGAGAAGTCTCAAGCGGTGGTCACAGTGAAGTGCCCGAAGGCCGGCAGACCGGGGATGAGGCATACAAGTTGCAACTCTTGCGGTTTGCATAGCGGAAGCCACAGGACGTCCGAAGCACGTGCCGACAATGCCCAAGATTCGTGCCCTGCGCTCGCGAGCGCAGTGAAAGTTCCCTGCAGCTTTTGCCCAAAGCGAGGCCAGCCTGCAGCAACTTCTCCATCCAATACAACTACTCGTCTGCGAGGCCGACGTGAACCTGCAAGGAACTCAAGGTAGGATAACTGTTGGGAAGTGTCCAGCTGAAGTTCTGTTTGTTTGGGGCATCAAGTCAACTCATTTCTAAGTGGCGCAACCAAGCAAGACTGATTGCCTACAGCATGGCTCACGAGAAGGAATGCTAGTTCGCATTGACCCATTACTCACTTTCTGTGAAGCAGCAGAGTGAGCCGAGCTTGCAGTATCGCTGCGGCCATCATGCTGTCACACAACGACATCATCGGAGATGGAGTCTCGTACTCAAATACGAAGTGCCTTCGTGGCATACCCTTCCTCACGGTCTTGCAAGTTGCCAAGGTCCGCCCAGACTTTCCACAGCCATCCTGGGCTGGGGCCTCGAAACGCAAGCCATAGACCCCTCGACCCCCAGACCCAGCCGTGGCACATGCTCACTGACTGAGTTGGAACAAAGACGCACCCACCCACCCACCCAGACGCACAAACACACACGCACACAAACCCACACACACACACAGACACACAGACACACACACACACACACACACACACACACACACACACACACACACACACACACACACACACACACACACACACACACACACACACACACACACACACACACACACACACACACACACACACACACACACACACACACACACACACACACACACACACACACACACACACACACACACACACACACACACACACACACACACACACACACACACACACACACACACACACACACACACACACACACACACACACACACACACACACACACACACACACACACACACACACACACACATGTGTATACGCACATGATATATCGTGGTATATATAATATAATATAGTATAATATAATATAATATAGTATAGTATAGTGTAGTATAATATAGTATAATATAATATAATATAGTATAGTATAGTATAATAAAATATAATATGATGTAATATAATGTAGTATAATATAATATAATGTAATGTAATGTAATATAACATACATATACATATATATATATATACATACATATACATATACATATACATATACACACATGCACATACACATACACAAGCACATGCACATAATCATACACATACACCTGCACATATATATGTATATATATATATATACATATGTATATATATATATATACATGCATATGTTTACATATACATATATATATATATATATATATATACATATATATATACACACACATATGCATAGTTATATATATATGTATATACGCACATTTGCTCACATGTGCTTATATATATATAGACACATGACCTGTTTGTCTGTTCATACATTCTGCACATACATACATACGTACGTACATACATATACACATACACTCATACATACATACATCCATACATACAGACAGACAGGCAGACATTGACATACATACGTACATAAACACATACACGCATCAATGTGTCCATACTTGCTTACTGACTCACTTGCTGGCTACGTTACGGGCACATAAGCGCCGTGGGGAAGATCGACTCAGGTTGCACATGGCCTGCTTGGCCTGGCGCTCGTGGGGAGGGTTCTGCTTGGAGCTTTCTAGCCTGTCATATATACATATATATATATATACACACATATGCATATATATATATATGTGTGTGTATATACACACGACCCCAGCCTGGCTCTAGGTGCCGTGTTCATCGGCTCCGTGGCTGGCATGCTGACGATGGGGTCGGGGTGCTTGAGGTTGAGCGTCCAAGGGATTCAGACGGCAGTTTGCAGGTACTTGGGCGACGTGCTGGGTGTTCGGCCTGCGCTGGCCGGCAGCTTAAAGGCAGAGTGGATTCTGCAGCGCGAGGTCTAGTGGTCAGTCTCCTTTGCCGGATTGGAGCAATTGCAGCACTGTCACTTTGTGGGGGGTCGATGCTGCGGCGTCTTGTTGCCTTCTTTCATCTTCTTTCAGATTGTCACCAACGCACTGGCGGCTTTCGGGGCACTGGCATCCTCCCTGTTCTCATGGGGTCTGGCCGGCATGTGCTGTGCATCGCTTAGTTCTCAGAATGGTGGGAATGCTGCAGGCGCACCAGAGACCATCTGGAGCTTGATTGCAGTGCCAGCCTGAGATTCTTGAGATGCGAAGCTTGGGCATCTCTCGAGGACCATGATCGCAGTGAGCCGCTTGATCATGGGCATCGGTGTCACAACCTTGGACAAGAATCTTGCTCTGGGGGATGTTTCTTCAATGTGGCTCGGAGACGGGAGGTCGGCGGCAACTACCCTCTCAGCGCTGCCAAGGCCCGGCAAGAACCAGAGGTAAGCTGTCTCTCCGACTGCTACGGCTAGCAAAGCCAGGCAGCCCAGCCCGGAAAAGGTGCCAGGGAGGCAGCTTTCTCTGTCTACGTTGCTTAGCTGCAAGATGCATCTGGGTGCAAGGTGAGCGCCGTGGACGCGGCCAACAGTGCGGCGAAGGCCTTCTTTTGGTGCCTGGGCCTGACCCAAGAAGCCGAACTCTGAAACCCCCAAACCCGGACCTCGAAAACTGCAACACCCTAGGCCACACTAAGCCACCCAACTGCCATTGAAATTTTGAGGCAAGGGCCTGGACAGCTGGCTCCCTATCTGTCGACTCCCGAGCTTTGCCTCGGCTTGAACAAGCACTGGCTGATAATAGATAAGATAAGAAACTGCATAATAGGTAAGATGCTACATAATATGCAAGATATGATGTACTTTAGTGTAACATCATAATTTGATATAATGTGTGACTCCTCCGGTTTTGAAGGCTGGCGCTGCCCCTGCTGAGCTTGCCGCCCAGCCAGGCACTGCGGTGTGGGGGCTTGAAGAGCTACCAAGACTCTCTTGGGGCTCCTTATTATCATAGACCCTAAAACCCTATTCCAATTCTTCAGGCCTCTATAATATGTTCGTTCCAAGAACTGTGCTTGTTGTGCACCACCCGCGCATTTCCAGGGCATCACCTCCGTGCAGTTCCGGATACTGCTTGGCATCGGGGCTTTGCCTGCAGCCGTGGCACCGACCTTGGATCCTGAGCTACGAGTAGAGTAGGTTTCTTCTATCCAGCGAGGTGTTGCTGTGTTCTGCCTACGAGGAGGCCATTGCTTCTAGGATTGTGTACATGGGTTGATGGTGTGGGCAGTTTCACGGTGCCTGAGCAGCAGGAGCTCGACTCGGGAGCAGCCATCTCAACTGTCAAGCTGTGCAGAGCATTGCAGAGCCAGAAGCCTGAATGTACCTGAGGCTCGACCATCGGGCCGTGCGGCGCCTAGCTTCAGCACCCGTAAGATGAAGATGCAGTCTGAGTCGTTTGATGGCCATCTTGGCTTCAGGAGGCAACCTGGGGGATCCGCGCAATTGGCAGCTCCTGAAAGGCACGACCAGCCTCCCTCTGCAGCATACACCATGGAGAGGCGCGCCCGAACACAGGAACGGCAGGTTGCTGGTTTCTCTTTGACATCGCTTTCTATGGCACGGTCTGCTCCACCGCCCCAGCCTATTTCCGCTTGCCTTAGCTTGTCAGCTTCGCCCGCTCCACTCATGTATGCATGCCTCAGCTGTTTTGCTCTAGCACCAAGCCACGGCTGCAGTGGGCACGATGGAGGGTTCCTTAACCGAGTGCGATCAAGCCGACTGGCAGCTTGGCTGCCACCAGCAGCTGTGGTGAGGCCGCTCTAAGCACGGAATGTGGGAGGAGCTGGGCAGCTGGTTACATGGAATCTGAGGTTCTTTATCGGCAACACAGAAGAAGCATCAACGCGACCTGACCGAAGGCACGGCAACGCCTCGCAGACTCGATGTTTGCGTCACCTGAGGCAAACCCTTCCATCGCTTCCAGACCCAGTATCGCTGGCAAGCGCCGCGACGCAAACTTTCCAGGCGCACGTTTTCGGAACGAAGAGGAGACGCAGGAGTCTTGAAAGCGCCAGGATCTGCCCGAGCAGCCCGTGCCGAGTAGGATAGGCGCTCCGGCCCGGCAAGAGTCAGAGACTGGAAGTCATGAGACCTTCTTTCCGTGAGCTCCAGGCTATGTCGTTGCGGGAGCTGCACTTCTCGGACTTGGTCTTGCTGCAGGCACCCTGCTTTTGATACCCTCCCCCATCAAGCAACGCGTCGACGTCTTGTTCTGCAGGGCGTTACTGGGCCGCCCGAGCACCCGAAGGCCATGAGATAGAGTCAGAAGTCGCGCGGGAAGCAAGCTTCCTATATCTCATGGTCGGCCACGATGTGTCTGCAGGTCCTGCTTCTCAAGCGCTTGTTTCTGTTGAGGGTCAGCAGACTCAAAAGCTTGAAGGCCGGGCACATGCTTTGTTCTTCCAATGATTCTTCTCATCGTCAATCTATGTAGTGATATGAATTATGAATCTCCTCCTTGTCCCCTAAACCCCAAACCCTAACCCTTAGACCCCAGACCCTAAACCCCAACCCGAACCCCTAAACCGAAGCTTCTCTCTACCTGTGTTGTCCAGCCGTGTGCCTTAGCCTCGCCCCCTCCAGGCGAGGCTATCACCTCACCATCCTCGGAGCCTTTGCCGGTAAATGTCAAGGACACCAAAGATGGAAGTCCAAAGGTGCTTCAGGTGGGAAGAGTCGCAAAAATAAATGTGTATATATATATATACATATACACAGCTGCAATTGAAGTATATGTATATATGGTTTTTTGAGTACTACATAGTTTGCTGACAGGATTGGGGGGAAGCTGCAACTCCTTCGCTGCCGGCTCTGGAAAGCTCCCTGGAGCCAGCTTTGAGCCCAAGCTTGGGAGCTTTCGCTTGCGATGTCCCACCAGCCTCAACGTCGCGACTTGGCACTATATCTGGTGGCTTTTCATGCCTTCCGTTTGCCGAAAAGCCGATACAGGGGAACTCGCATCTTCATTCTCGCCCATGCTGTGTCCAGGGGCCAGGGGCCGGAGTCTATTGTACCTGACACCAGAGCTACCTTACTTGCACAGTTTCACGTCTGCATGATGCTCCACAGCAGTCGTCACTTCCTACTACAGTAGGTCCTAGGATTACCTGCCGATCGGATCTTATTAGCCCCTTGGGAATAGATTGGACATCCTTTCTCAGATCGGTTTGAGGCAGGACTGTTGGGTTCCCTTTGGCAGGGAAGGCATCGCGTAAGCAGATCGCCGGTGACGCTTTGGCAGTCAAGGTGCGAGCCCGCTGACAAGGACATGAATGCGGCCGAGATCGTCCCGGTTCCGGATTCTGTGCTCACGCAGGCGTTACCGCTAGTATGTTTTGATCTAGCCTCTTTTGAGAAAAACCTTGTATAGTAGTATGATCGGTACGATGTACATAATGTATATCTAAGTATGATGCACATACTATACTGTTATAGTGGCATGTGCCATGTATGATATACTATTTCTAATATCTGTTCCACATGTATATGTATATTATATATATATATATATATACATGTTATATAACATGTATTAAGGCATCATGTACAGTACAAGGCATATGGCATATAGCACATGAGGTTCACCATCTAGTATCTCATATCATATTTACTAGACATTATACTATACATTTTGCATATGACTGGGTCTCAGTTATGTGCTATATACTACTCATTACACAGTATATATCCCGTTGAGATTTTGTGTACAGGGCTTGTGGTTCAAGTTATAGTTCCATTTCCACACACACACATATGTGTATACATATATGCTTATACATATATATACATATGTGTGTACACATAGCATCACATATTATATATGTATATATGAATACAGAGAGAGAGAGAGAGAGAGAGAGAGAGAGAGAGAGAGAGAGAGAGAGAGAGAGAGAGAGAGAGAGAGAGAGAGAGAGAGAGAGAGAGAGAGAGAGAGGGGGGGGGGAGAGCATGAAACTGAACCCAGAGCGTCGAACCAGTGAACCGTTGTTACGCTACGTACTGCTTGGGCCGGGACCTCTGCTTGCCTGCTTGGTTAAGAGTCTGATGTGCTGCTTCGCAAATGATGGGGGATGCAGTCCATGTTGTGGTGTAGCCCGACCCCAAAATGGGGGAAGCAGGCGTCCGGAAACAATCCGGCGCTTTTCTGCAAAATACGGGGCAACGCAAGAGCATGAGATGAGGCGCGAGGCGGGGGGTTTTAGTGTTCTAAAATAATAAGGGGATGCACGGAGCAAGCCAGCGCCTTTTCTCAGCCTTGAGTGTTCTCACAAACCGACCCACGACCAGTGCGCGCACGCGCGCGGGGGGGTGCCTGCGCCTCTCCTTGGCTGAGTGCAAGCAAGAGGTCGATAGATAGATAGATAAATAGATAGAGATGCATCTCATATGGTTTTGCCACATGTTTCATATTTTTTTCTTGTGCTTTATCTGTTCGACACTATAGCTTCCATGTTTATGTACATATTGTGAACTTGGTGGTATATGCTACATATGACATTTTGCGTAATGCATGCTTCACATTATATGTTGTATGTAATAGCTTATATGTATTTGTCAATGTATATTAGCAGTTGTCATGCGTGATGTGCTGAATGCGACGTGTTTCATGTCGCAATTCTAGTATGCGGGTAGTTCTACAGATCCATTTTGGGGGTTCTTGTCGTACGGGTGCCGCAGCATTTTTCGGGACCTAAACAGGTACGCCAATTTTCAGAACTACCCACATGTATTCTGTTCTGCATAAGATATATTGTATCATAAACAATGTACCGGACATAATGTCTAACCTATAGGGTGTATATGACATAGACTTATACGTGTATTAAAATTTCTTAACATGTATCAAAGCCTATAGGGCTTAGGGGTATATCACATATAATACAGAGTACATTATGTTACATATTCTATGTAGTACATAATGTCATGTATAACTGCTCATATACAACACATAAAACAGCAGTAATATGTAGTATACCAAATGTAGTTAGAATGTATGATAAGTGATCCGAAAAGCAAGTCGGTGCGTATGTATTTGCTTATTTATTTCTGTATACCATCATTAGGGCTACCCGCCACATAGTGTCACTCCAATGCTTTCCTAGAGGTACGCCCTGTCATGCTCTGTCAGATGTTTCATGCACGGTGAGACTTGAGCAGGTGGAAGGGAAGCAGGCATCCCGGTACAATCTGCAGGTGAGATGCAAGTGCTTGCAATCTCTGTACCTTTTTGTCCTCGTTTCTCTTGATCTGATGCGGGTGCGAGGGTGCGGCAGTGATTGGACTGGGCTTGACCGCCTTCGCAGCGGCGGGCCTTCTAAGCAGGCCGGACACGCACCAATAATTGAGACGTGGGGATGGAAAGCACAACCGACATGTGCCCGGCCAAGCTGGCACACACACAGACACACAGACACACACACACACACACACACACATTCACATCTCAAGCCCCTGTGCACAGGACACTCTGGTGCAAAGGCTGGTGTCCATGGCTTTGCCGAGCTTGAAAAGCTGACATGATGGGTCTGTGCGCAAGGTGCAAACATGCGACAACTCTGCGCGGCCCGCCAGGCAAGTCGCGGATGCACCTTGTTAGTTGAACTCCGAACTCTTTTAGATTTTATGTTCCTCATGCAAAACTGAACTGAAGGTTGGCTCAGCGCAACACGAGCGACTACAAGGCTGGATGTATGTGTTGAAGAGATTTGTTCAAAGCATCGAAGCTTTAAAGGCTCACTTCCAACGATGTCTCCTGCTCCCAAGCCAACTGGCCAGGCTTGGGGGGCTTTGGGGATCGGACTTGCAAGGGTACCCTGCAAGTAAGGGGGTTCCAAAAGAGGTTCTAAGTAGCCAGAGCTGACGGGAGGCTGGAAAGAACAACCCCGTGGGCAATGGGACCTCGAAAGCCCAGCATATATCGAGTTTCGCCCAGATCCTAGTTGAATGTTTTCAGTGGGCAAAGCCAGAGCTCGCATCTCTGATTGAAAACTTGGGAAAGCTGCTTCCTCACAAGGCAACGCCGTGCGGACCATCCAGCACCAAGAGCCACGGCCATTCCCTCAGACACACATCCCACACGCAGATTGCTCTGCTTTAGCCGGTCTGGAGACGTTTTTTGGCCTTTTGCTATTGGTGCTGTGCTGGTGTCACCACCAATTCCCGATACGCTAAGCGCTGCCGGTAGAACCCTTGCACGGAACTCTTGATGTGGAAATGCTGCTCCCTAAACCGGACCTCGGAGGCATCATGAAGCAAGACGCCAGCGACTGCGTTGACATCGACTTCGCGATACTGGCGAAGTCTCGGCTTAGGCGGGGATCTCTTCCAGCCCCTATCTGAGCCCCGGAATCCTGTGACAACTTGCTTGATCTGTGCGCTTGCAACGCGATATTGCTAGTCATCAATCATTATCCCACGAGCACAGGGTAATGGACCTGAGCCGTTAACTCCTGCAATCACATTATGTGGCCAGGGTCTTTGAGCCCTAGATCACCACTAACTGGACAAAACCGGGGCTTGAGCCTCAAGCTACCTGTTTCATTTGGGACCGTGGTTCATCGCTAGATAGTGGGGACCCTGAGCCCCCAAAGGAAAACACAAACACTCGAAGCCCCGAGCCTCTAAGTATCTTCGAGGCCAGCAGCAACCCAACAGGCGGAGGCGGTGCCCTTTTTGGGGAGGGGCGGGTGGGGATTTAGGGCGTAGGGTTTGGCAACAGTTTCTTCATGCAAGAGTGGTGCCAGTGGCAATCTAGCGAATCTAGTGCTGTCGAATGTAACATCGTAGCAAGATGGTCGCACTTATGCGACATAATCCGAAGAGGTTGAAGAGTAACAGTAAGAGGAGGACTCCTGTTTAGTCTCTGAGACTACTGGTGGTTACGAATGCTTATGATCCCTAAACCCTAAACCCAAAACCCTATGATCAAATTTGGCAGGTCTACATCCTTGACGGCATTGTGCGACCTGCACCTCGGAGAGTTTGTTCTCTCTTTGCCAGCCCTGGTTCTTTCCTTCTCTGGGCGGTCTAGATAGTAATAATAGTAATGATAGTAATGATAGTAATAATAGTAATGATGTTAATGATAGTTGTAATAGTATTAAGAGGGGTAAAGAGGGGCTTTAGTCAGCCCGTGAGAGGTACCTCCTACATCTTCCAGGGTTTTTCGCATGCTGCCCAAGCAATGAGTGGTCGCCCGGGCGGCCATGGACTCATGCCATGCCATGGTATCTTCCTCGCTTCGTGGACGAACTGCATGAGATCTCTGCGCAGCGATGTAGTTGATGCGCCGGGTCCCTTTGCCTCAACCCCCAGAGCCCAACCCCAACCCCCTTCCCCCCTTTGCCTTCCACCATATCCAGCTGAGCCAGCCAATGCGTTGGAGGTTTTGGTCGGGCTGTGTATAGTGTCCACATTTGTAGGGGCACAGAAGAAGAAGGGATGTCTATTAAGCTTTCAACCCAGAGCAGGCTGGGAGTGCACCAATCATTACCCACCATGGGTCCGTTCAGCGCCGTGTAGGCCTCGAACTAGATCCTGCGACTGCATGTGCATTCCCGAAATGACCTGGACTTGTGCTGCCGCTTGTACATACCTCAATCGCGGGGTGTAGCTTCGTATCGCTGCTGTCACAAGATGCCAGATTCTTCTCTTTATCTGATGCCCCCCCCAAGCTCCCCAAGCACACCCTGCTTGCAAGAATGGCGGCCCGAGTAAGCACTTTCGGATTTATATGAGTTTGGGCTGCCCCGGGCTTGCACCTTTGCAGACCCTCAGCCGGGGCGCGCCTTCTTTTCTTCTGGCCCTTAGTACAGCACAGTGGAGCTTTGGCAGCTAAAGGTTGCAGCATGAAGCCTGCGAGCTGCATCTCCAGTAGATAGTGGGTGATCTCAGGTTGCTTGACGAAGGGGGGTCATCCCCTTCAAGCATGAGCTGACTCTGCAAACTGCGAGCAGTTCACTTGTCGAGCGAGACGTGGAAAAGAGCCTTCACCACTTTATACCACAAGACGATAGACGTATCACCTGTCAGAGACAGTGAGAGAGATTGCCAGGTGCTGAATGGCTTTTGCAGCCTTCAAGATCAAGCGAAGTGAGCAGCAGCGGCATGCATTTCCAAGAGTGGGTCTGACGCCCATGCATCAGTGGGTTCCTACGACAGAACCAGCGATCATCACAGCAGACCAGAACACGGCAAGCATTGAGCAGTCAGAAGAGCTTTGCTGACATGCCTAGCGTCGATGTTCGCTGTCTCTCCGGCCAGCAGTATTGTCCACCTCCTAGACTTGAAGCCATTTGGCCTCGCAAGACCTGAGAAATCTCACCAGCAGGTTTTCAGCTGAAGGAGGACGACACAGTTGACGTCTTGCGTCAGCGAGTAGCTGACGTCTGGAAAGAACCTATCCTGGCCCGGAATGTTTGCGCAGCCTGTCCTGGATTTCAGTTGCTTATCCGTTTCCTGCAACCGGCTCCAGTCCTTGTTCGTTGTTTGAAAAATTTTAGTTCGCCGGCGACTAGCAGCAGGTGCTGGGCCAAGATGGAGAAGTAAAGAGTGGTAGCGTGCTGAACGAGACGGAATTTACCGCGGCTCTGCGGCTTTTGCCATTGTCGTTGTGCACGTTCAGCAGAGTTCACTCCTCTGAGCCAGATGCTGCAGCGCCAGCCAAGGCGGTTGTGTCAACGCAATCTCCGTTCGATCGCGATTGGTACGCTCATGCAGATACAATCTCCTACTTGCCGGAGGATCACGCGGTGCACCTCGTTTTTGTAGGCCGGACCTCCAAGATTACCTTGTGAGCCTGATGTGATGCACGAACTCTTTGAGGTGATGGTCGAAGTTCCGTTCATGGTCTGCCTGGAGTTGGGTGTCCCGTCGACTGTGTTCAGACTCAGTGTCTTTCGAACTCTTGTCTTCTAGATTGCTGTGCCGCCGCCTCATCTGTTGAGGATGTTGACATGTCTGCGAAGTTGTTAGTCTTTGGTTGCGGCCTATCAATAAGCAAGGAAGACGAGCTTGGTGTTCCGATGTAGAGACTGTCTTGGTTCCGGGACGGGCTGGACCGGAATGGGGCGGCTAAACGGCAGCGGGCATCTGAAAGAACCTCGCCTGATGTACTAGCTGCCAGCTGTATTGCTAGCTTCAAGCTCTCTCAGTCAATGTTTTCTGACGCCAAGGACGACGGAACAGTCCGATTCGAAAACTGCAACTTGTCACAGCAACCATCGGGTCCTAGGGGCTACTTGTCCCGGCCAGCCTGCCCAAACTGGACTCGCTGCCAGCCCACAAATCATTCCCGACAGAGCAGAAGAAGAAGAGAGGCTCGAATGAAATGCAAAAGCAAAGGTTAGAGTGGACGATGGACAAACAAGACAAAACAGCCGTCTTGAGTTCCTGGCCGAGGTGAGTATGTTTGGAAGGATGGTTCCTGGCTGCAGATTCAGTGTTTGGCAAAGTGTTCCTGGCTCCTTGCAAGCTTGGAAAGATTCCTCATTCAGGCAGTGGCACCACAGCCATGATAAGCCTGAGTGATGCAGCGAGCTCACACGGCGAATTGCGAAGCAGCTTCTCGTTCGCAATGACGAGTTGTTTTATCTAGTTTTGCTGTAATATGTGCCCCAAGACCTTCAACCCTAAACCCTAAACCTTCTGTGTGGCGACCCAATGTCCTAAGACGCTGAGGGTTTTACGACAGCGCCTCCGTCTATGTCATGCTCTTCTGCTTGGCATCAAGGCCTGGTCTTTTGGTCTCCCACTCTTTACACGTACTTGTAACACAAGCTTAAGTGGTTATCAGTGGGCGTGCTGCTTGGTATCGCGTTTCTTCCCTGCTACTTATTGTTGGTTAAGGTACTACTTGCAAACTACGGATTATCGGTTGTTATCAAAATCTTGGACTTTCCCGCTTGGTGTCAGGATGTCCTTCGAAAGCGTCGAGGAGAAGTGGCGTCACGAAGTCGGCGAGGCTCCCATCCTACTGGTCGGGACCAAGCTGGACTTGTGTGCTGAGCTGAAGCCATCGGAGTGCATCTCCTACCAAGAGGGCCAGGCCCGTCGTTGGAGGTCTGGCGAAAGGTCTCCATGAGGATGCTGTTTGCTTTGGCGTGCAGGCCTTGGCCAGACAAATCGGTGCTCTCGACTACTTGGAGTGTTCCGCACTCTCTGGCGAAGGAGTGGATGATGTTATCGACGCGGCGATGTGGACCTACCTGATGCATGCACAGACCGAAAGGGGCCAAGCACTGCACCATGCCCGCAGCAATTCTGAGAGCTTTGCTCTATTTTGAGGTCCTGTCTCTTACCCCTCGACTGGCCACAGAGACGTGGTGAGATCATTCCTTTTTGCGTGCAGTAGCGCTAGGCGTTCGTCCAACGCGGAACGGCCAACAACGAGCGGGACCACGGTGAGAGCACGACACACTTCACTCTGCTGGAGTGTGAACCGTTTACTGACTGAGAGAGAGAGAGAGAGAGAGAGAGAGAGCCTCGTTCCACCATGCAGTTGATTTCACCTCAGACCTCGAGACCGGTGCGCTTTCCAGCGCGGGGGGGGTGCGAGCGCTCCTTTGTCCGAGTGCAAGCAAGTCAAAAAGCAGTCTCACATAAGGTTCAAGAACCAGTGCGCACATGGAGCGCCTCGTCCGTTGGCTGCGTGCAAGCAAGAGCGAGGCAACTCCCTCGCCCAACGCCACGGGGGCGGGCGCTAAGCTCTGCGAACGAAAGAGAGAGAGTGCGGCCGTGGGCTGTGGGGAGGTAGAGGGTGTGTGCTGCAGTGAGTATTGAGTATCACTATCATAATGGGCGGTCTCAAGGAACCCAGATGTGCCGTGGCTTCCTGTTCAAGCTAGCTACCTTGTTTATTATGGTCTATGATCAAGGCAAAGAAGTGCCCAGCAAAGTAGCCTGTTGCCGCCTGCAGTGCCTGCGGTGCAAGGTATGAGTTTGTGGGATTGGCACATGTAGTCCTAGCTCTCTTAAGCATCGCTGCACTGACAGCCCAGGTTGGCACCTCTCATTCAAGGCAAGGATCAGGGATGTCGCTTGATGTGAGTCTGGCACCGGTCGTGCCCACTCCCAGCTACTCGTATTTTCCGGAGGCAAGGCTGTTTAAAGTAGGGCGGCCTTGCGATTCGATTGCTACTGCCACCGCCTTGGGAAGCACGAAAACGACCGACAAGAATCCTGTGCCGTTCGGAATGGGTTGGTAAGCTGTTTGACATGTTTCACTGAGTTACGCATTGGACATATGGCTAAGATACTGTGCCCGTCCTGGGTTCACATTGCTTCCTTCGTGTTGATGATGCGGTTTCTTGTGTGAATCTTCTCAGTTCTAAAGCCGCTAGGCAAGTTCGAAGGATAGGTCGTGTACACTACCTCGCTCCGAACACGCTTAGCACCCCCCAAGCCACTCCTCAACAATGAACGAAGCACACTCCACCCTTGCCCCGAGACCCCCAAGACAAGAAGCCGGCTTCGGTTGGTTTGATTCGATAGGTTTCAAGTCGGGTGTACAGACCAACCATACGAGAAAGCCAGCAGCTTGTATGCCACCTGACAGATCCACCTGGAGCATCAGATCTAGCGGGCCCAGGATGCATTCAACACTCTTAAAATCGTGAAGGAATGGTAGTTCCAGAGGCGCAATCTTTTGACTGGTAGTTGTTTCTATCGCATCTGTACTACTGCCTTGGGTTTCAGTGGTGCCATCGGCGTAACCGCTGTGTTTTCCACCATGGCAACTACGACGACTACTACAGCGCAAGAGATGAATGAAGCCGATCATGCGTTGCCTTGGGCCGTTTGCATCCTCAGAGCGATCGTGCAAGTGCACAGCCCCAAGGGCCAAAGAGCAGTCTTAGGAAAGAATCCACGGCACGGTTCCACAGCATCTCCCATGCTGAACACTGGAATTTCGTGGACCCTCAACCCTAAGCCCTAAACCCTAGAGACCCTACGCCAGGAAGCCCAGAGAAGAGCTGAGGATCCCCAAGTTCTGATATATGGCAGGGCAATGGCAGCGTGACTTCTTCCTGATCACCGAAGATCCCTTCGCCGTGGACCTGAATACTTTGGACCTTTGGGTCGAAGGTTTGTCCGTGCGGGAAGCCACCGAGCGAAGATGGAGGGACACAAATTCCCAGTCTCCGCTTCAGGTCACAGGAAGCCTGGCTCATCAGGGCTCCTCCTCGGAGAGAGAGAATGGCATGGCTCTGCTGGCACAGGACTGCGCCCAACAGTACGAAGCTTTCGAATTTCTGGAGGAGGCCTTGACAGACCCGATCCACTTCATCGACTTTTGTCCCGTGCAGCTGACCCGCGCAGTTCGCAAAGTATTTGTGCGCAAATACTACAGCTTGGACAACCACATCGTCCGCGAAATTCTCCGCCAACCGCATATCCTGAATGTGAAGCTGCAGGGTGGCGGGGACAGGAGAGCCATGTTTGAGGTGGATCAGATCGCACGCGCCAGCGAGCAGCGCTCGATGAAAGTCTGCCGCATCATCATGAACCTTCAGAGGGTGGGGCGTTGGATCGAGCACGCCACCCAGCGCCACGGAGAGGACGAGATTCCTTATCCGGGCGGGAGGCTCCATGTGCCTGAGATGGAGGCTTTGCAAGAGCCGCTCTGCTGGCGGTACCGCAGCTTGATCTTTGTGTTGCTTGCAAAGTTTGATTTAAGCAGCAAGCTGTCCAAGACTCTGCAGACAGAGCATATTGAAGACGTGGCCGCTATCTTGCTGGCCATTGGGGGCTTGCCGGAGCCAACGGACAGGAGCCGACTGCTCCCCATCATCCCCATGCTTCGGGGCGATGAGGTGCTGACCACCTACAGCGCTGCCTCCACCTTGCGACAGTCCGTGCTTGATGGGAATGTCAGGGAGCAGCTGCAGCAGCTAGACAAACACGTTTTGAGATGCTTGGCACTGCTTTGCATTGCCTTCCCTTCAATCTTGGTCTCCAGCCCGGTGTTCCCAAAAGGGCAGACCCCCGTAGCCAAGGACGACGCTTCGACGACTTCAAGGCGATCCTAGTGCAAGAGCTGGAGCAACGAGGGGAACAGCGAGGCGAACGAGAGATGAACGAGAGGCCGAATCAGTCCCAACAGAGTCTTCCTGGAGGGTCGGGAGGGGGGTCCGCCGGAGCAGGCAGGGGTTTCGCAAACTGCGGGGGGCCATTGAATGATAAGGATCCTAGAACTCGGGTGTCTCTCTTGGTTTCTGAAACTCCCAGGCGTGTCAGGTGGTGGGATCTCGACCGGTGCCCTTCCCGACGAAAGCCGGGTGGGAGGTCTAGTGGGGGCGGGTATGACCTTCTTTCGTGGCGGACGACTGGGGAAGTTGAAGTCCTCGAAGCTGGATCCTATGGTAGCTGCGCTGACAGCAGGTGTGGTTACCTTGCATTCCGTTTCCGAGTTCTCCTCGTTCTTTGGATTCCTCGCCGAGTTTGTTGAGAAGTTGCGGCAGTTCGATGCTGTCGACCCATTGGACGTCTTCCAGCGCTGCTACACTGCGATGGAGACCTTGGCAGAGCGTGACAGGACAGAGGACAGAAAGAGGAACGAGCTTTGGCCAGGTTGGCTGGAGGCCTGGTGCAAGTTTCTGGAGTTCTATCGCGCTTGTGCAGCCTGCTTGCTCAGCAGCAGCCAGCCTTTGCCGCACCCCACCCACGGGAGCAGAGAGCTCGACCCGGGAGAGCAGGGGGCGGTGGATGTTAGTGAGGAGACTTGTCTTTGCAAAAGTTAGCGGTCCCCTTCGAGGAGTGTTTGTGATAAGGATCCTGCGACTAAAGATCTACAGCAACACGCCCTCGTGTATTGCAGTATGGGCTAATTATGGCTATCACACCGTGAAGACCCGCAGATTCCTTATAGCACGCTGTTAGACCCTCCCTTAGCGGAACCCTTTCAAGGGGACACCTGGTGCCGGAAAGGAGAGCTCCGGGCCTTACACGGAGAGTGCCGCGCGCTTCGAAGCGGATGCAAGTTCGAAGCCACTTGTCTGAAATTGCTTGAAGGTTTAGGGCTTCCGGTTATTTCGGCCTGCTTCCATGTAGCAGCTCTATACAGCACCTGTGAGCAAAGTTGTCAGTGCGGTGCTGAGGTTGCTCCAGCTGTAGCCGCCGCATCCTTTGTACAAAGTTGGTTAACGAGCCTACCAAGCGGAGGGCGCGTAAGCTGCTGCCCTCTCTCGCATTGGTTCTAGTGACTCTAGTATCGCTGCACGAGCAAGACCGCCCCGCCGCCGCAGCAGTCAAACACCGCGTGCCTACTGCTGTGTGGGGCTGTGGGTCCGATCTTGAGCTTCTTCACAAACGTGGTGCGAGAGTCCCAGCGCAGGTCATTTTCTCCCCAACAATCCTTCTGAAGGTTTTCGGCAAGACGGAGTACCTGCCCGCAGATTCTGCCGAGAGCTCGCGTTCATATGTCTGGTTCAAGGTCATTGACGTCCCTGGCCGTCCATGCTGCTGCCACGATTTTGGACTACGGCTCAGTCAGCAGTGGCTACCGATTGTGCGTGCTTTGAATGTCCCAGTGCAGGTGACAATCGTGGGCAATGGCGCAAGCCTGGCAGTCTGCGACTCACGAGTGGCAGCTCACACCCAAGCCCAGAACCCCACACCCTGCTTCCCCACGCTCGCAGGCATTACGCTGGATTGGGGCCAAAACGCTGAACACCGCCGGCTTCGTTGCGCTTGCTGGTTTCGCTCGTTTCTCGAAGTGTGTTGGCAGGCCCGTCAGTATCAAGACTGTCAGTAGTCGTACCATTACCACTAGCAGTACCACTATGCCTACCGCTGCTGCTGCTACTGCGACTACTACTACTACTACTACTACTACTACTACTACTACTACTACTACCACTACCACTACCACTACCACTACCACTACCACTACCACTACCACTACCACTACCACTACTACTACTACTACTACTACCACCACCACCACCACCACCACGACTACTACTACTACTACTACTACTACTACTACTACTACTACTACTACTACTACTACGACGACTATTGTTTTCAATTGGACGCTGTGCGAGCGGGCTCAGCACATTGCGGGCGATTGCCGCGGTGCACTCACTTGATGTGAAACTGACTCATTGACCCTTTGGTCTGAGAAGCCCTAAGGTGGTAAGCTTTCCAGAGAGGCATGACTGCAGTCTACATGGCCCTTAAGCTGACTTGCAGAGATCAGCTTCAAGACTTGCAGTTTTCAACCTGATGTCGAGCGCCGCTCCGTCGGTTGTACCTGAAGCGAGACAGTGCTTGATGCTCGCGAAGGTGCAGTCATTTGGACAGTGCAGTAAGCTGCGATGACGAGCATCGGCTCTGAACTGTTTTCCGGACTGACAGCGACGGCTCCATGCAAAAAAGCCATCAGTTTGCCTTGGAAGAAAATGTGTGACGAGTCGAAGAAAAACAGCCAGGCAGTGCCTCCGCAGCTATAACTACTACGACTACTGCTGCTGCTACTACTACTACTACTACTACTACTGCTACTACTACTACTGCTGCCCCTGCTGCTGCTACTAATAGTGCTATTACTGCTACTGCGCCACCAGTATGTTGTTTTTGTACTACTACTACTACTACTACGACGACGACGACGACGACGACGACTACGACTACTACTGCTACTACTACTACGACGACGACGACTCTTTTTGAATGAGTGGAGGGCGACTTTCCGCGTGTTTAAAAACCATTTTGGCTCACCATGGCAAACAAGTTTGGCGGCCGGGGCTCGACGGCCAGTAGCCTAAAACATCATTCTGTACGTTTAACAACTCCGCATGTTTAAAAGCATCGTCACCGTACGACTACAACTACTGCTTACTCCCCCACGACTGGCGCCATTCCTACGAAGCAACTGACTGAGCCAGGTTGCCAGCTGCCTGGCTTTCTGTGCTTTCGCTCTGGTAGACGCCTTAGTGCACTGCCCATCCATGGCCGTGGATGTTGTCTGGCTCGGGCCACGGTTGTGAGGGCTGGATAGACACTTCGTCCGCAGCTGCATTAAGCAACTTCAAGCATCTGAGGCGTATGCATCATTCCATGACAAGCACTTGCTGCAGTTCGCGCTCCTGTGCATTGTTAAGTGCGCCAACTGCTGATCCAGAATGCGGTACCAACTCTCCATCCTTCCAATTTGCGCAGTTTCACGCTCTCTATGAACAACATCTCCACGTTCATGCTTCCAGTGTTGGCCTTCCCTCGCAGCGCCGCGAACTCAAGGGCTTGTCACCTCATGATCGTTTCGGCGTTGTTTAGTGAGGTGCGGTCCACCTTCCATGGCATTTCGGCTGCAGCTCGGATCTCGGATCTCTTTTTAAGGGAGCCTTGACAAAGAGTCATCGCCTCTGCCGAGGCCGCCAAGCTTGGCGCCATGGTGGGGACGGTCCTCTTTCCTGCGCCCAGCGCCCAAGGGTACAGCGATCTTTCAGAGCTGGGCCGCAGGCGGCTAGCCACCAGTTTCGTGCATTTGCGATGCAGCCAGGCTCGAAGGACGCGGCATCCCTTTCGTGATGTTCACTCAGGCTGGCTCTGATGTGCGGCTGTGACATCTCCTGGCCCTGTACATAGTGGGTGTGTCTGCAGGCTTTCGTGTGTGGCATGGGGGCTTGCTGCAGTCACTGGCCGTGGGCCAAGTCGATGAACAATTCCACAACTCCTGCATCATGCTGCGTATCCGGCTTTCCCATCCAGGCTTGGTCGATCAGCATGGCTACAGTCTATAATATCGAAAAGCCTTTGCGAGGTTCTTGGAAGTCGTGGAAGAAGACGTATGGAGCCCTGTGTTTGTCCATGCGAGGGATTTACCCGATGCGGCTCCGAGGTTGATTGGGAGGAGCAGGCTTGCCTCCTTTGCTTCTCTGCATGTGCTCTCATCTCCCATCGCTTGCAGGTGGAGTTGCAGCTGGTTGAAGCTATTGGTTTGCCAGAATCGGCGCAGGACGGGCCGAAGGAACTCCTTGCGTTGATCTTGGCTTTGTAGCTCACCGTCTGATGATCTTCTACAGATCCCGCTGGTGAGAGGATGCTGCAGCCCGCGAAATGCAGGTGAAGGGCGGATGAACGCGGAAACTTCGGCTTCGGAGAAGACAGGCACCTGTCCAAGACAGTGCCTGTCTTTCTCGTGTTGCCTTGGCAGGAGCCTGCCTCTGACAGATTGTGAAAAGGAACATGGTTGCTACTTGTGGTTGTCCCGTGTGAATGCTCACAATTACAGGCAGAGGACTCGCGTGCTTACTTGCAGCTTCCGGCGTCTTCGAAAAGAGTCAGATGGCTCAAGAACCGATTCCGAGTGCATGAACGTGTAGGTTTGTAGCATGTGAAGTCAGTCTATCTATCAGCTCATTAACTTGATACCGTTTTTAGAGATGCGGCCTACCCAAAAGACGTTAGCAGTAGAAAAAGCCTAGACCGAACATGAATCAGGATGATAGAGCAGAACCACAGAGTTTGAAGCCAGAGTCATTTGGACTCCGCGCCGGCGGGCTGAAGGACAGGGCAGCATGTGGGAATGTGTGGGACTCGTGCTAGCAAGCAGCAGAACGTGGTGTTCAAAAAGGCAGCCAGAAGGCAGCACCGCATTGCAGTGGTTGGAAGTCGGCGCTGTATTGCATGTGGTAGTATGGTTTTGTGATACATAATGTGTACTGGTATATTGCAATGGTGGGTTGGAGGTGGGATGGGGCCCCGTCATCTGCTTCTGTAATCGAAATTCATGAGCAGCAGGCAACAAGCCGCGATGCCATCAGAAATGCTGATGCAGCGCAGCATCCGTGAGCAAACCCCACCCACCAAAGACCAAAATCGACAGGGAAAGACAGCAAAAGCGAGTTGGGAAGGAAAGGATCGTGCACAGCAGTGGTCCCACCCCTCCTGCATCGTCCAACTAGGTACTCGTTCCAACCTATTTCCTGAGGGGGACAAGAAAGCAATGATCCATGTACACTTTCCATGTATACCACAGACTCAAAGAAGGATGGAACCCAAGCGTCAGAGTGAATCTTGAACAAGAATAGTCAATAGTCGCACAATTACTGGCAATGAATGTAAGAAAGAAGGGAAACATCTACGTGCCGCGATATGATGCAAGGACATCGAGGGGTTATCGAAGACCACCACGGTGCAGTTGGTTGTTGTTAGACGGTCCGATAATGTAATGTGAATGGGGAATCACAGAACATTATGCGAATTCTTCTGAAGGTGGAATAATGTGGGGTCGGTAGGTCGGCGGGTCGGTTGGTGGGTCACCATGTAGGTGGGTAGGTGGGTAGGTAGATTACGCAGACTTAGATCACCTTGCTTTTGAATTTTGCCTTCCATCACCTGTACATTACATGCATGTTGTGTATGTTCATGCTTACATCGTTTCTTTCATGCCGATTCATGCCTACAAACATATTTTGTGTTACCTGTATATCTATATCTATATCTATATCTATATATATATATGCCGTATATGCATGTGTATATGTGTATATATATATATGTAACCTACAAACATAAGTACATGAATGGCAAGGTTCCAACTACACTGCTCGCTCTGCAGCCAGGCACCATGCCCCCGAAGCCCGGGCGGAGCAGGTGCTGCTGAGATGGGATTTTCCGAAAATTAGGGGTACCTTATTTTAGGGTCCTTTTTTGTCAGGATCCTGCTGTTTGGAAACTATATTAGGGTCCCCTAATTTCGGAAACCCCCGCATGGAAACGATTCGAATTTGTTGGGATTAGGGTTATAGGGGTCTAGGGATTCGGGTTGAGGACTTTGGGGTTTGCAAGTTGAGAGAACCCAAGATGGAAGTTCTCAGGCGTTGCAGATACCTATGCTTGGTCGCCGCAGTTGCTGTGGCCTGGAGCTTGGCATGTGCTCGTCACACTAGTTACTAGCGTCTTCGGCGCCTTTGGCTCTTGCCGTATCAAGTCTGATCAGGTCTGCAGCAGGGTAGCTTTCATGCCAACTCCTCGGCACGCTGAATCCAGAAGATGCATCGAGTCGCAGAGCCTCGTTGCCGGAGCAAGTGCATGCTGAGTCCAAGCACGCAGACGCCGCCCAGACGAGGCCCAAAACTGCTCGGCTGTTGGTGCGATCCGGTCTTCATCGCTTCACTGTTCCAAGGCTGGCAGGTCCCGACAGCAGTGGGATGGTGGTCACTAGCCGTGCGCTTACATGCCCTTGCATCCGGCTGAGGCAAGATCAACTCAGCTGCTCCTTCTGCAGGCATCATCAGCCCATGCTGAAGAGCAGCCAGATGGTCTCCCCAAAGCCAACAGTGCCCGCAGCATGATTTTGCACGCTTCGTCCACATAGCTGTCTTGGAAAGACGTGCCCGCCAGAACTGTACACCTTCGAGGATGCTAAGGCGATCTGAAAGAGATGTTATCCCTAGAGATCCCCCTAACCTGCCCCCAAACCCAACAAACTTGGAAGCCCATTGATTGATTGAAGGCAGTGACGGAGAAGCTGAAGGCTGCTGGCGCAGATGCAAACCTGCTCGATGAGCCCGTCAGCCTCCTGCCACCCGCTGGGCCCCCGAGAGCCAGGTAATCTAGTGGCGCCGAGTATTGTATCATTGCTATAGTCCCCTAAACTAAACCCTAAACCCTATTGTGATCAAGGTCACCAGTCTCTTGTCATCGGAGCATACCGCAACTAGCGTGAGCAACCAAGGATCTGCCAGAAGGTGAAAAGGCCGCCGACATGGTGCAAGACATGACAAAGGAGGCCCCATCGGTGGCTGAGAGTTGTTTTGCATGCTGGAAGACCCAGCACCACTTGCAGCTGGAAAGGCTGTGAAAGCTTTGCTCGAAGGCGATTTAGGCGCGCCTGTCTAGATTGCCCATTATCACCTTCATGCGGTGGTAAGGAGATATCGTTTTCGTTCCGGAATCGACAGCACGTGTGTCGATGGAAGTCTTCAGCGGCAGACGGTGCGTTGTGCGTAGCGTGTCTTCGTCTCGCAGGGCGAAGTTCCGTTTTTCGGGCCCTCGCATGCCGTGAGGGTCGCATCTTTGTGGTTCTCAGTTAGCAGAACTACAAATGCCCTGCTCCAATGCCGAGCAGTTCCGTAACTTCTGGCATCAAAAGCGAGGCCAGTGGCCAAATCCAATCGACATTAATCATGAAAGATGCTGGCACGGTGGCACCACGCATGCTCCAAGGGTTTACCTACCGGCTGTCAGCTTTGCTTCAGAGACTTGACTGCTTCACCGCGTTGTGGCGAAGAACGGCACTGGCCAGTCGCATCTTGTACATTCATCTATGCAGCAGGTAATGTGGCGAACATTGCCGGGAATATCGTCGAAGAGGGCCTAGAGGCGGTTCAGGTGCGCTGTACGTGCTGAACAGGTTATGTCAACATCTTCGAAAATCTCAGCTAAGGATGAGGAGTTTCCCTGGGACAAGGTCGGCATCGTCTTTTTCGGGTCTCGGCCTCGTAGTCCTGTGCTGTCAGCGACTGGAAGCTATTATTGCTTATTACGGTTTGTTCCTGTAGGTTCGCGCTCTTAGCAAACAGCCAGAGCCTCAGCAAGAACGGAGAAAAGGCGAAGCGTATTTTGCAGCTTGTGGCTTCAAGATCTGCAGGTGCGCAGTTCGTCAGATCCCCAGTATTACCAGGACTGCAGAAAGGAATGACTGGCTGTGCTTAGCCCCACATTGGACGAGGTGTACCCGCTTCTGGAGGAAATCTTAGAGGAGCATCGAGCTTCGTGACGTTTTTTTCTGGGGGCTGGATTGCTGCAATAAGGGTAGTAGAGCAACAGGCTTGTAAGAAACCCAAAGGAGAACCGTAAGCATGTTAATACTCGGAATCATAGTGCGACTGCTTCCCTTCCGCCGTAGAATTACCGCGCTGGTGCAGTTGCTGCTGCTGCTACTATGGTTACGACGACGAGTACTAGTCACTAGTACTGTTCTAGCACAACTACAATTACTCAGTATTTTTGCTACTACTGCTGCGACTACGAGTCCTACGAGTACTACGACGACGACTACTACTACCACTACTACGCTGTCAGACCTGCTTTTAATCTCGGAAGTGTTTTCGCGGTGCCTCTCCACAAGCACAGGCTTCCTTGTGTGTTGCAAGTGTGATCAGGATGAGGAAGATGACTTCGACAGGCTGCCGATGCCAAAGGGTGGAGCAGGGCACCGAATGGGCGGCGCTTGCAGGCTTCCGCTTTCGTACTTCGCTCAGGGCTCTGGTGCTGAGGCAGTTCGGCGACCGGTGGGTCAGATCGAGGAAATCGATCTAAAGCTGCCTCCGAAGCCGATGTCCGAGACCATCGCCGAAAAAGTTGAGAAGTCGAAGAAGGTGGAGAAGAAGAAAGAGGACAGACAAGTCGCACTTGCATTGCCGGCTTCACGAGCTTCATGTTTTGTCTTTTTTGGGCCCATGAGGACTTTAAGGAGCAGGACTGGAAGAAGTCAGCATAGCAGCGTCTGTGAGCCGATGATGGGCTCCGTAGTATGGCAGAGTCTCAGCGGAGTACCCTTGCGAGAAGTGTATATAGTATAAGATGTAGGTACAAGATGATACCAGACAGTACAACTCACCCAGGCCTCGTGAGGGGCCAATTTTCCAAGACACCGCAAGCCGAAGAGCCGCAGAAAATGTGTCGCGCGCCGTACGTTGACGACTGTCCTTCTTCGACCTGGAAGTAGCTAGAGCCCTGGGGTCATAGAAGCAAGGCACAAGTTTGCCCTGATGTGCTCGGGGTGCTCGAGAGCTGATGTCTTGTACAATGACACGCAGACAGAGGCAGGCTCGAATGCCAACAAGCCATAGCAGAGAAGCATTCACTGTCCAGATGTGTTGGCCACACTTTGCCTGGTGCCTAGGGTCGTCTTCAGCCCAGCGGAATGGGATGTAAGTGTTAGGAGCAGCGCAGCATGGCCCTCTTCCACGGGCTGCTAGGCCCGTGGCGGTGCGCAGGGCACGAGAATCAGTGGAAGTGGTTGAGCTGTCTGACAGGAAGCTTGGTCTATGTGGGGTATGTGGTGGCCCAGGATCTCTCAGCCTTCAGAGAATGCAGCGCTCCGAGTTTGTAGCGCAAGGAGTCTTTTGCAGACACGTCATGATGAGAACTGCTGGACTCTTTCAGGTCCGGAGGTTTCCAGCTACTACAACGTTTGCTGTGCGCGATTGCAGTGACCTTAGCTGCCCGCCCGAGTTTGCACACGGTTCACATGCTTTATGGTTTGTTCATGGGTTTGCTGTCCTTCTGGTTGCCCTAGCTCCACCAACAGCAGTCCGGGTTCTCCCAGGGATGTTGATCGGTCTTTACGCGACTCAAAAACAGTTGTCGTCCGTCGTCTTCTAAACAAGAAACTACTCACAGTGCCCTGTGACAGTAGCAGTGGCAGTGGTACAAGTACAGTAGCGGTAGTCGTAGTAGTAGTAGTCGTAGTAGTAGTAGTAGTAGTAGTAGTAGTAGTAGCGGCAGTAGTCGTAGTGACGGGAAGTGGGAGTGGTAGAGGTAGTGGCAGTGGAAGTAGTGGTGGTGGTGGTGGTAGTAGTAGTAGTAGTAGTTGTTGTTGTTGTGGCAGTGGCAGTGGCGGTAGGTGACAGAGGCAGTGGTGTCGGCGGTAGTGCTAGCGGTAGTTTTGGGAGTGGTAGCGATGGTTTTGGTAGTAGCGGGTAGCAGTCCTACTAGTACTTACCTAGTAGTCGTAGTAGTCCCGAAGTCTCTTGGGTGTTGCTGTTGCTAGTCTCCCCCACTTCCCGCGCCAGTCGTAGTACTCGCCTGCCTTAGGCGGGAAGAGGCCCGGCAAGCCTGCATGGAGCTCGGGCCTCAGTAACAGATTCTCATGAGCAGACATAGATGGTTGTCAAAATTGGGGGTACCTTAAATATTAGGTGCCGCATTGTAATAGGGACCCAAAAAGGGACCCTAATTTTGACAACCACCCACATAGATCTTCGAGCACTCTGTCTGAGGTACGCAAACTGGGGTTTCACGCAGGAAGACTGCCTGCCTTGGCTTGAGGCATGCTGCGGGTCAGAAGCTTCTGCACTTCTGATGTTCTTGGGCCTGATGGGGTAGGATGTGCCAATTCAGATTCTGCCAGGCAATAGACACACACTGCCCTCTGGTGTGTGGGGACTGTTGGGCGGATAGCTTACAAATTTCAACTTGTCATCTGTGTGGGCGGAGCATCCTCACTATGCTTGCCAAGGAACTTGGCCTGCGCTTGCGGCAGGAGTGCCGCTTCCAGCTTCAGGCAAAAGGGTACAAGTTGTAGTGACTCGTTGACTCTGCCACGCTGTCATTTCGAGGCGCTACGAACACTGCAAAGTGGGTGGATTGAAAGTACAAACAGCGCATGCCGACACAGAAGCTACCTCGCGATGCAGGTCCTGAATGAGCCAGCCACTGCAGCGCTTCCTCCTGAGCAGAGTCCGGAATTTCTCCAGCATGACCTGCCAAAAAGAGAGGGTAGAAAGAATCACGCTTTGCATCGGGCCTGGCGAAGCCGAGCTACCCACGTCCGTTGCAAGGATATGGTGCAATGAAACCGCCAACGATTTCATGAACCACCGATGTCGGCCTGCATGTGAGGCACCGGCCAGGGTTGGGCTCAAAAGGAAACCTCTGTGAGATTCCAGAAAAGCATTGGCATGAATGAAGCTGCGCAGGTCAACGAAACCATGTGCGCCTCAGACGAGGCAGGGACGTCAGCCATAGTATCCTACAGTGACTTCTTGTCAGCGCATCGCCAGATCAGTCCTTATCCTGTCATCATCATGATCATCCTTGTCGTCATCGACATCATCAGTGCCATCTCATCCGCCGGAGTAGCAATGACGGCGGCATCAACACAGCCTCACGTGGAAGCTCATCACCCGATCATCAGCATCTTCATCCTTATCAATGTCACTACATGTCACTACCAGCAGCAGCACCATCATCACCAGTAGCGTTACCATCATCGACGCATCGCGCTCGTGATGCCACACTTGGATCCAGGCACGCGAGTGCATGCGAACGTGCGGCAACTACAACACCTGCACGTGCCGAAAGCCGGAGCCTTCATCGTAGCCAAGATGAGTTTGATGGGTTGGTCTTGCCACATTCTAACCAACATCCAAGTCTCAAGACCAGAGGCTGCAGCTGAGGTTCAAAGGCAGCCAGCAGCCCTCGTTTTGCGACGGCTTTACTTTCAGCGATGGCGTGGTCAACAGGAGGCACGATTGAAGCATGACGCAGCAGCAGTCGAGATTTCACGGGAACTGAAGTCGACCTGCGGCAGGGACGATCTGTTCTACGACTGTGCCCTGACGCCAGCATCATGCAAGCACACGGATGGTGTGACGTGCAATACCTATCGATATTGCACACCCGACCTGTGCCTGATTGATGATGCCTCATCCTCAGTTCTCTCTCCGTGTTCATAGGTGCCTTTTTGGATGGCATAGCAGCATTTTGCTCAAGATGCAGTGTCTTTACTAGTCTTTGCTCCGAGCCAACTGACACCAGTTTCTCAGGCATCGCTTCTGGTGAAGACTTCCCTTTTTCGACTGTCTTGACATGAAGATACCTTCACAGAAAGGCCCTCCCACAATCGAGTTTCAAGTAAGGATTGCTAACACCGGAACCTTTCATTTGGACCTTCGGATTGCCGTGCATCCCTCTACACCAAGGTCGACTGCTCACCACGGCATCAGTGCGAGGCCGGGACGACATACATCAATCCTAGGAAGCACAACGTCCTCATAGCTTTGATTGCTGACTCTCAATCCTGTACTCTTTGGATCCCTTGGCTTTGAGTATTAATTAGTTTACTATATGTATATATATATATATATATATATATATATATACATACATACATACATAATTGCTTGTCCGACCCGAGCCCGGCTCAAAAATCAGAGCCACGCTTGGGACTGTCACTGGCCTTCCCCTGCCGTGGCTTGTCCTTCTTATCAGCGAAGCGAACACTGGCCAGAAGCTTGGGCCTTGGAAGATCTCGGGCCTTGGGTTAGGGTTTAGGATTTAGGGTTTAGGGTCTAGGGTTCCTTGCTGGGCAGGGTATCCTTCTGCTTCCGAGGCCTCATGCGATAGTGTGGCGATGGCAGAAAGAAGAATTGATCCCGAGGATGGCAAGGTACGGTGCCTGTCGCAGCTGGCAAAAAGCAGTCAGAAGATGCGCAGAAAAATGCCTCGTCTGTAAACAGGTCAGAACTTTCGAAGAAGTCGTCAAGCGATATCAGTCCGCATGGATCTCAGACATTGAGGCTTGACTTGTGTTAGTTACATGAGAGTGAGAAGCTTGAGGAATACTCCCCGCAGCAGGTTGCGGACTCAATGAGTTAAGTGCCGCCTCGGGGGTTGCGGCCTGCCCTGACTGAGGTGCAGGAGTACTGGGAGAGACAATGCAAGCCGGTGAGTCCCCCAGCTACTCTCCTGGCACCATGGCTGCCAGCACCATTGACCATTGCGCTGGGCTGAGGTGCCAGCGGACCCCTTCTTGACGCACCTGCAGAGCGGCCAGGGAGGGCTTCGACCCCAGTCTCTGCAGATCGAAAAGAAGTGGAGCTAAAGCGGCCAGTGAAATCTTGAGACTTCAGGCCTCGATATGGAACCCAACCCGGCCTCTACATGCAGTCAGAGCCCGAGATGCTTTCGTCTGCGGCCGTCTGGTGTTAGCGCAATGAGCGCAGCTCCCGAGGTCCGATCAGGCCCCAACAGCCCCTGCATCACAGGCCATGGACCATAGCCAGAGACGCTCTTCTCATCACAAAGTTGTCTTTTCTAAGCACCACGAAGACCGAGATGCCAGGTGAACCTTGGGCAAGTGAAGCTATCAGAGGATCCCTTCATGGCTGCTGCCTTCGCGACGCAGGGTCCTGGACAGGCGATTACTGTTACTGTAACTATTTTTATTGCTACTACTATTACTACTAATATTATATTTGCTAGTAGTCTTACTACTATATTCTTCGTGGTTTAAAGACACAGGTCTCCACAAGAGGTCATTAGATGCGCAGGCAGAATTGAATTCACCCATCCCTGGAACGAGGCCCCGCCGTACGCGCCGAGTGCAGATCTTCCTCCACCGCCTCATTTCACGGTGGCGGAGGCGCCCACAAGACCTTGCGCTTCTCATGATCAGAGATAGGGTCGGAGTCTTGATCTTGCAGGACCCTGCCCGGGATAAGCAGCAAGCGCAGGATGCTGAGAACCGGTCTCGCAGGAATACCCAGCCACCTCTGCTACGTACTTGCTGCTTGCTGCCTAGGTACGAAGGAGCGTACTCTTTCTTGGGAGCCGGCGACAAGGATCGACAGCCTCGTGCGACAGGGGCTCAGGTTCACCTTCACATGCATATGTTAAATGTATGTGTGTGTTGGTAGGTATGTGCGTGCTTGTACGTATATGTATGTCTACCTATAGACAGATGGATGGATAGATATATGTACGTGCACACTCAGACTCCAGATTGCACGGTTACACGTCTCTGACAGAGACTCCCAGGCGGACGATCCTCGTCCTGGTTCCAGTCCTCATCTTCCTTTGGGTCAGCGCCTGAGCTGAGCGAAGAGGCAACCAAAGAGAGGTAGGCTTTGCTCAGGAGATGATTATTTGGTGTATGTTGGCTCACATCTCCATCAATGCCTGCTGGCTGCGCAGGGCCTACACGAGCTTTTGCATGTAGACGACGTGCTTGCATGTTCTGCGCACTCATGGCATGCTGAAAGGATGACGGTGACGCTTTCGGTGGTTTCTGCAAGTGCCGTGACGATGTGGTTCTATGGAATGCGTGCCTGCCCCAGACGAGCCGTTCCTGTTCGCCTCGGAGACTGACGAACCGAAGTCTCTGAAAGTTGAGACTTCTGAAGAAGGCTGAATTTTCTCAGAGACCCCTGTACCTGTGTTTTGTCTCCAGGTTGGGGCCCCGTTTCTCTGGCAGCTCTGGGTTTTCTTTGCATTGTGGCCATCGTCATGGGAACCCTTCTGGGGCAGCAAGGCCGGGCTGCACAGTTGACATAAAATCGCAGATACGAAGTGTGTCAGGTGTTTTCGAGTCAGTGTCGCTGTGCAGCATTCAGAGCCCCGGAGGATGGGATCAGCACTGGCGGCTGTTCTGGTGGATGAACATAGGGTGGCTCCCTCGACTAGCAGTGCTGCACGACATGTGAGACATGCCAAGACCCAACCAACGACAGTGATAACCCCGGCTAAATTGCCAGCAAGCTGCCATGGGTAGACTGCAGGCAGCAGGAAGTTCCGCTGAGTCCTGAGATGTTGGGAAGAGCTTGAACTCCTTCTTTTCCACACAGCGCATTTACTTGTGTTTGTGCAGATGCCTCAGAGGACCGTCGCAGCAACACCAGCGGGAGCTCGCTCGGCTTGCACCTCAGTCATGACGAGGGTGTCGTGAAGCATTCAAACTTTCCCTGCATGCATAGACATGCACACAGCCCTCAGTTGTGTCATGCTGTGATGCGTTGTGGCACGATGCTCAGCAAGTGCATATGCATATATCGTTTGTTTCTTACATACTTAGTTATGTTAGTAAGACTGCCTTTGCATGCGGGTACGAGTGCACAGGCAGTGCGTGTGCACTTGCGCAAAAACGAACACATCTGTAGAAGTGCAAGTGCAGAAATCGAGGACGCCGCCACATTGTCATTCCGAGGGGAAGCTTGGCCGCATTCAATTTTGCCTCAGCACCGACCGGGTATGGGCCTTTACTATTTATTGTTGTGATTATTATTTGTCTGATTATTGTTGGTATTCTTATGTATTCTTGATATTCTTACTGTTATCCGTTCTTGTACGGAAGCTGCAGGTGCAGCGCTCGGACCAAGACACTTCACCGTCACTGCGTCCGATACACCCTAATGGGAGTTTCCGAAAACAGCATCCTTATTATACGGACCCCAGAACAAGGTACCCCTTGAGTCGATCCTCTCCCCATTAATGGTTAAATAATGGGATTTAAATAAAACTACCCTGTAAAAAAAGCACAAGAAAATAATTCCACTTGGGCCTATTTAGGGGTGACACTTCTGAAAAGCATGATTTAGGGACGGCGAAGGAAGAGGGAGGAGGCAGCAGGGAAGAGGGAGGAGGAGGAGGAGCAGGAGGGAAGAGGGAGAGAAGAGAGAAGAGGGAGGAGGAGGGAGGAGGAGGAGGAGGAGGAGGAGGAGGGGAGGAGGGAGGAGGAGGGAGGGGGAGGAGGAGGAGGAGGAGGAGGAGGAGGGGGAGGAGGAGGGAAGAGGGGAGAGGACGAGGGGGGTGATAGGGAGCTCTTGGCAGGCTCACACTTGACTATATGTTACAGTCAGTTCGATATAAGACTAAGACTAAAAGTTCTAAAAGCATAACTTAGATCTGCTGGGTGTTCAAAAGCCAATAGAGCCGAGCGCTATCTTGGCATGGCCGCAGATGAAAATTGCGGGAACTCCAGCGTGCCAAAGCAATTTAATGTTGCTTTCTTGTCTGTCTATCAAAAATTAGTCTCGGTCCTGGTATTATTCCTCGTCCTCAATGTCCAAACTTTCAGCAAGGCAGAACAGGCAGAACACGAATAGCATGTGCCAGCCATCCCAAGGCCTATGGCATCAGCACAGGCTTCTTTAGAGCCATATCATATCCCCATATCATATCATTTATCACATCATATTATCACATCATATCATATCACTTATCAGACTTCACACTTGTCACAATATCGCCTGGAGTGGGATGATCATGAGGGCCAGGCTATTGTAATGTTTCATGGTGGTGGCGGTGGTTTGGAGCGGCGGTAATTCGAAGAAGTGGTTGGCAGTGCTAGACTTGTAGGTAATGATGAAGGTCTGGGATGCAATCGTGCCGCTGGGAACGGCAGTGTGTGCTAGCGGAAATATTCACTGTTTGGGGCAACTTCGAAGTGCCCACCCAACCCGCGTGTATATAGCCCTTGTTGGATACCTACCTAGGCGGTTGCCTGGGGTGGTGTAGTGCGCTGCAGGTGCACCCCCAAACTGATTTAGACCCTAAAACATAAAAAAATGAAAACACCAGACCGCATATACGACGTCCCCAAATCGGACCACATCATACCGAATCATACCGAGGCATATTTGGATACTGAGTCAGAATCACAGGCGGCATAGTCATACCCCGTATCGCGGGCTGATCGAGAATTTTTTGCTGGGGGCTGTAGGGGGGGCACCCAGAGGAGACAGGGCAGGATACCCACCAAAAGCAGAACAGAGCACGAGAGGAAGCACAGTTTTGAAGCGCAGACTAGAAACTAGGACCACGATTTTTGAGGCCCACCTGTGCGGCCGAGAGCCTCAAGGAAGCCTGCGGCCTAGATTGATTTCCAGTTCATGAAAGCACAATTTTGAAGCACAATCTACAAATCACGAGCACAAGAAAAGCACCAGAAATAGCACAATTTTGGAGCACAATCTACAAATCACGAGCACAAAAAAAACACCAGAAATAGCACAATTTTGTATCACAATCTACAAATCACGAGCACAAAAAAAGCACCAGAAATAGAACAATTTTGGAGCACAATCTACAAATCACGAGCACAAAAAAAAGCACCAGAAATAGCACAATTTTGGAGCACAATCTACAAATCACGAGCACAAAAAAAGCACCAGAAATAGCACAATTTTGGAGCACAATCTACAAATCACGAGCACAAAAAAAAGCACCAGAAATAGCACAATTTTGGAGCACAATCTAGTTATTTTTTTTGGAAACTACGAGCGCTGTGAATTGAGATTTATATAAATCTAATTATAAATGCAGCCGTAGAACTAGGAAAAGAACAAAGCACCAGAATTAGCACAATTTTGGAGCACAATCTACAAATCACGAGCACAAAAAAAAGCACAAGAAATAGCACAATTTTGTATCACAATCTACAAATCACGAGCACAAAAAAAGCACCAGAAATAGCACAGTTTTGGAGCACAATCTACAAATCACGAGCACAAAAAAAGCACCAGAAATAGCACAATTTTGGAGCACAATCTACAAATCACGAGCACAAAAAAAGGCACAAGAAATAGCACAATTTCGGAGCACAATCTACAAATCACGAGCACAAAAAAAAGCACAAGAAATAGCACAATTTTGGAGCACAATCTACAAATCATGGCACAAAAAAGCACAAGAAATATCACAATTTGGGAGCACATCTACAAATCACGAAGCACAAAAAAAGGCACAATAAATAGCCCAATAATAGCAAATTTCGTGATCTGGAACTGATCCGTCGGCCCTGCTTCTCACCTTCTGTGGCGGTCCCGGAGCGGAACCTGGCGTGCCGGCCCCGGCGCTGGAGCCGGCACGGCCCGGCGCTGGGCCGTGCCAGCTCCGGCGCCGGGCCGTGCTAGCTCCAGCGCCGGGCCGTGCCAACTCCGGCGCCGGGCCGTGCAGGGTCTGGTGGGACGGGTCCCACCTGCCCGCCTTCTGCGGCCTCTTTAGCGGGTCCGGTGCTGGCCCAGCCCCCCCTTCTGCGGCCTCTCCGGCGCCGGGGAGGTGCCGGTGCCGGGCGTTGGTGGGTGGGTGGGTGGGTGGGTGGATCTTTTTGTGGTGGTGGGAAGATGGTGATCTGGGTGATGCCAATCTCTTTGGGTGGCTGGTGGGCAGGGGACGGAACGGTGCAGGCTGGGGTCCTGGTCCGGCGCCGGCCGTTGGTGAGAGGTGTGACCAATCTTTTTGAGTGGTCTCGGTGGGTACGGTATGGTATGGATGGCCGTCAAGGTGGTGCTGAGATGGGTGGCTGGTGGATGGTGACGGAACGGCGCAGGCCGAATTCTCGGCCCGACGCCGGCCGTTGGTGAGTTGGTGAGAGGTGTGACTCATGTGACCAATCTTTTTGGCTGGTCTTGGTGGGTGGTATGGGTATGGGTGGCCGTCAAGGTGGTGCTGAGATGGGTGGCTGGTGGATGGTGACGGAACGGTGCAAGCCGAATTCTCGGCCCGACGCCGGCTCGTTGGTGAGTATGGTCTTGTGGGTGGGCCGGGCGCAAGGCTAGGATCGGGCCCGGCGCCGGCTGCTGGTGGGTATGGTGTATGGGTGGCTGTCAAGGTGGTGCTGAGATGGGCGGCTCTGGTGGATGGTGACGGAACGGCGCAGGCCGAATTCTCGGCCCGACGCCGGCCCATTGGTGAGTAGGTGAGAGGTGTGACCAATCTTTGTGGGTGGTCTTGTGGATGGGCCAGGCGCAAGGCTAGGATCAGGCCCGGCGCAGGCTGTTGGTGGGTATGGTATGGGTGGCCGTCAAAAGGCTGAGATGGGTGGCTGGTGGATGGTGACGGAACGGCGCAGGCCGAATTCTCGGCCCGACGCCGGCCCGTTATTGAGTTGGTGAGAGGTGTGACCAATCTTTTTGGGTGGTCTTGTGCATAGTTGGGGGAAGTCGGTCCGGGCTTTCCATGACTTCGCTTCAAGCCCCAACAAAGCTTTAATCCTGTAACCTCTACAAAACCAAACCTTACCGCTTTCGAGAACCCCAGACGGCCCGGCGCAAGGCTAGGATCGGGCCCGGCGCCGGCTGTTGGTGGGTATGGTATGGGTGGCCGTCCAGGTGGTGCTGAGATGGGTGACTGGTGGATGGTGACGGAACGGCGCAGGCCGAATTCTCGGCCCGACGCCGGCCCGTTGGTGAGTTGGTGAGAGGTGTGACCAATTTTTTTGGGTGGTTTTGGTGGGTATGGTATAATGGGTGGCCGTCAAGGTGGTGCTGAGATGGGTGGCTGGTGGATGGTGACGGAACGGCGCAGGATGAATTCTCGGCCCGACGCCGGCCCGTTGGTGAGTTGGTGAGAGGTGTGACTAATTTTTTTGGGTGGTTTTGGTGGGTATGGTATAATGGGTGGCCGTCAAGGTGGTGCTGAGATGGGTGGCTGGTGGATGGTGACGGAACGGCGCAGGCCGAATTCTCGGCCCGACGCCGGCCCGTTGGTGAGTTGGTGAGAGGTGTGACCAATTTTTTTGGGTGGTTTTGGTGGGTATGGTATAATGGGTGGCCGTCAAGGTGGTGCTGAGATGGGTGGCTGGTGGATGGTGACGGAACGGTGCAGGCCGAATTCTCGGCCCGACGCCGGCTTGTTGGTGGGTTGTGGTGAGAGGTGTGACCAAGAATT